GTTGTATGTATGTGTATCCACTACTCACCTCGAATACTTACTTAATCCAGTTCTCTAATACGGACATTTTTATGAATGTACATATGAATGAATGAATGTCGCAATATGTTGCTTATATATTCATATATGTATGTATGTGTGTGTGTGTATGTATGTATACATACATACATACATGCAGTAAATAATATAGGGGGAGATTGAACCACTTTGACCTGCCCATTAAATGCATATCCATTGACTCCTCTCAACTTGTCTTTGAACCCGCAACTATTTGGTCAGAATTTATTCAGCATTGACATTGGCTCTTACGAAACACTGCCTCAACCGTCCATCCGTTCATAGTGCCAACCCACTTGGCCGCTGGATTACAGCTGGGAAATCCTTTTTGCTGCTATTTCTTTCCTTCTGGCGCAAATCCTTCAACTACATTTGACCGCAGCCATGCACATTTACGTAAGCTGATTACGTGGCTCTCTCCTGCTGCTGCTACTTCTGCTGATCCTGATTTTGCTTCTGCTTCTATTCGCATTCCAGTGGCCATTAGCCGTGTCCGGAGCTTAGAAACTCCGCTAGTAACAGAGCACGGACAAGGAGGGGTTCACTGACAGCGATAGATGTATGAAAGCGCGCCAGATCCCTCATTAGTCAAATCTATAAATACATTTGAAATTATACATTCATGCATTCCATTTGGAATACGTACATATATGCCTACACCTATTCATGTTTAGGGTCGCTTATAATTTCCAGCACACTCGCATTCACATTTCGAATCGAAAAATACCCGGGCTCGTTCCCTCTCTGGCTCTAGCTCTGGCTCTGGCTCTGACTGGATGTTGGGTCTAGGCTAGAGCGCAGCACTTAAACAGTGGCACCGAGTGCGCATACTGATGCTGCCTATGAGGATGATGTGAATGTGAATGATGATGATGGTAGTCTGTAATTGAAATGCAGAAAATGAAGAGCATCCCAAGCAGCCTCGACCTGCTCGCCGACTGAGGTGAGTGCTCCCAACCCCTGGGGATGGGACTAGTGCTGCTGCTGTGGATGGGTTCCGCTTCTCCCTTAAAGATAAATAATGCAGCAGCCTGAAGCCCGTAGGAGAGGGATGTAGATGCTTTCTTCATCTGTCTCGGGCCTGAGCCGCTGTTGACACATAGTTTGTAGTTGGTAAACAGTCAACACACAACTGCTCAACGAGCACCTGAAGATGCTTTGTATAAATTTGAATATTTAACTGCAGCTGCACTTGCACTGGCTCACGATCTTGCTCTGACAGTAGCAGTGGCAGTGGCAGTCCCATACCCAGCTAAAGCTTCAGTCCCACCAGAAGTAGTAACATTTCACTAAAATCTAGTGCAGCTGCTCCATGGCTCCCTGACTGCCTGTCCGCCTGTCAGTTTGTCCTGCATGTACTTGTCGTGGACTGGGCAAATCTTTAGCCAAATTACGGGCTCTGGAGCCGGACCCAAACCCCTAACCGAACCCGAAAACTGGCTCATTTGGCATGCAGGTGTGTCGCTCTGGCCAAGACATCGGCCTCTACCGTGGCTGCAACTTTGGAAGCAGGAGCCATCTCAGATGATTATTATGTATTTCTGTGGCTGTTCAACATCTCTGCCCAGTATCGACTGATAGTTGCCTGGTTTTTCAATAGCAAGGGTGCACGGGGTATAAAGTTTCCATAAAGTACTAAAGCCATTATGATAACTTAATATAAAGGGATCTCAAAATCGAAATAAAACTCACAGCGATTGGTTCACATTTAGTTTTCATATTTATTTATTTATTTTTAATTAATTCATTAGTTTTTATTTATTCTTAGACCCTTGATATCCTCAGAAGTTGTTTGGTGTGTGTTGGTTTTGTTTTATTTAGAACGCTTTTCGCATTTGCCTTTTCTCTTTTTTAATATATACATATATGTATATATCTATATATTCATATAGATATATAAGTATATGTATTTTTAATACGCTTAAAATATTCTCGTTTTGCGTTGAAATCATTACATGTATGGTATATCATTATCATTATTGCAATAATTATCGTAATTATTATTTTACGTTAGTTTATTTTCTGCTGTGGTACTATAATGCCATATATAATTGTTCATTTATCGTTAGATATATGCATACGCCTAGGGGATTTGGGTGGATTTTTGGGTGTGGACTTTGTCATACTCGTATATGGTATGGTATCGTACCAAATCGTTTGCTACTCATCCTATTCCTCGTCCTTCACTAAGCAGCTTACATAGACAAAAAAAAAACCTTACGGGGAGTGGTTGGTATCGTACTTTTAAGCGGAATTTTCCCTACAATACGAGTACGTGTACGTGTAAGGGTTTGAGTATACCCTAGGCTTGCCTCGGTTTATTTGCTATTTGTGAGTTATATAGTTCGATATACTACAGATTCTTAAGTTTCGTCTACAGCTCCTTTGCTATTTTGTCTAATAAATATAATTTGTTCGTCTTTTGGTTTTTGCATTCTTAAAGGTTTCCCTACCTTTCATCTTTTTATTTTTCTTCTTTCTGCATTTTTCGTTAATAATAGCTATATATTTTTACTGTCGCTGCCTTTGGGTTGGGTTTATTTAATTATTATATCTCATAAATTCTTGTTGTTGCTAAATTTTGTTGTTTGCTTTGCTGTCGAGTACTGTCTGCCTCTGCCCTTGCATCTGTGTTTCTATGTTTCTGTTGTTCTGTATCTGTCTGTCTTTTTGTGTTGTTGTGTATCTGTGAGTTTTTTGAGTTCATGTAAGGTGTGCAAAACGTTTAAATGTTAATTTATCTCAATTGTTTCCCTGTTTCTTTATTTGCTAAGTATTCCTCTTCTGGCCATCGTTGCTTCACTTGTCCTCCTCCGCTGAGTCAGTTGAATCTGGCTGACCATCGCTTTAGTTTTAGGTTTAGTTTTATTTCCTCTGTTTTAGTTTAGTTTCTTGTAGCTCTAACATAAATACTCGTACACTAAAATACTTGGTTTTCTCCAGTTATTTACACACACATAGTGGTTGTTTCATCCGCAGCTTCTGCACTTTTTTCTCTGTGGGTTTTTCTATTCTCTATTCTCCATTCGCTTCTTCTTAGTTTTCGGCAATGCGTAATATTAATTTTAGTGTGCCATTGGGTTTTTCTTTTTTTGTTTGCTTTTGAAGCAATTTAAGTTTTATTTTTATTTCGTTTCTTTTCCTTTTATATGCTTGCCAAATTCTAATAGGTAACTGACTCCTGCTCTTTTTTCAAATGGTTTTGGTTTGCCAATCAACGAAACGGAAACGAAACACAAATCAGAAACGAGAGGAGTACTCGCACAGAGCGCTACCTCCATTATCTTATGGCATTCACACCTGTACACACACGCACATACATATATAAAATACATAAGTATATACATATATGTATATGTATATGCATAGTGTATATCTCGCATTTATATCTTACGAAATACGTACTCGTCATACATATATGTATGTATATATATATATATATTATATTATATTATATCCGTTTGCTCTGTGTCGTAAATTTTACATCTAGTTAGGCGCAACAACGATGGAGAAAAAAGCAAAAAAAGTTTGCATAAACTTACATATGCATACAGATATCTCTTTATATATGTATATAAACTATATATATCATATTCTATATAATTCATATATATGTATTTAGATTACGATGCATGGTGCCATATACGATATAACACTAGTTTACCTTGATTAGCCTTAATGTATATACACAGATACCCCAGCAACTCTAATTCGTTTGTTTTTGTTTCTCTTATTTTTTGTTTTTTTGATATAACGCTATCCCAAAGATGTGGACTTTCCACATGCGGGCGCTTTCTGCGTACTCTCCCTTAAATTGATCGATCATTTTGGCCTCATTTTGTGTGTGTGTTTGGTTTTGAGTCGATATTTTCTTTTAAAGATTTAATTTCTTTGCAACTACTAAATTCAGCAATTCTTTCTGTTTGGTTTCTTCTCTGGGGATTTCTCCTAAGAGTTCATTCTCATAGGTGTCCCTTCATCTAATGTCTAGGAGGCAAGGAATCAACCAACTTATTCACACACATGCACTTTAATAGCTATATCTATATATATTCATATAGTTTTTGCAATAAATTCGATAAGCACCAATTCATGGGAAAAAACAAAAAAATCTGTTAGGGCTCTCAAGCGTTTCGAGTAAAACTCAGTAAAAGTTGGGTTAATATATTCTTAAGTTAATATCTGAAAGCGAAAGAAGATCTAGCAAATATGTCTGCTTGGTTTGGGGACTAACTATGAGTCTCGTTCTGTATCTTATTCTCGGTCATAGTCCGAGTTTTCCGTATTTAATCGGTTTATGCGTCTGCCAATTGTCAAATGTTAGGGCTCTCAAGCGTTTCGAGTAAAAATCAGTAAATTTGATCGGTTTAGGCGTCTGCCAATGATCGCCTCTAAAATTTTGCATAGTTTTGGTTTATTGTAGTATTTATTTTTGTTTGTTAATACTGTTTCAAGCTTTATTTAGATCGATTCGTTTTCATGGTTTTATTTTGGGCCGCATTCAGCTGGGTTTGAAAAGCAAACTTATAAATAATAACATAACATTTCACATTCCATACGATAATAGCAGTATATATATATATATATGTATATGTGTATCATTAGACTTATTTCGATCTTATACGAGCTGTTGTTTTTTTCTTTTTGGATCGTGGATGTTCCATCTTTGTCGCGGCTGCGAGCAATAATAGTGAATAAATTAGTTAGGAAAAAAACTTAATCTTATCTATCAGGAATTTACAATTATTGGTTTCTATTCATACATACCCATATTTGCATATATATATATACATATATATATATGTATACATATATGTATGTACATTATGTAAATATATATATACATGCATATTTATATATACATATCAATATGTATATTTTTTGTGTTTAAATCTATCTTTATATATAATTAAAAAAAAGTTTTCTTTTGCCTATAAGCTAAATTTTGTTGCTCCTTTTTTTTTTAATAATTAATTTTTGTTGTTACATTTTTTTTTCGAATGCATTTTATTTTTGTTCTGAAGCTGTTACACTGTGCAAAGCAAATGAGAGAAAGCTTTCGCTAAGCAAAAATCTCCCAAAACAGGCCCTCAATTGGTTTGCCAAATGTAATATTTTATGTGATAATGTGGTCTAGACGGCGGGCCAGGGCCAGGGTTCCATTTATGTTTCATTCTATTACGATTCTCATACATAATATCCATTCCCATTGCCATATACTTCCTATATACATTTACTATGGCTGATGGTACAGTGTGCTGTGCTGGCTGGCTAAATCTTGCTGGGTTTTTCCGCCCAGCCCAGTCCATCGGGTGTCCGTCTGCCTGTCCGAGTGTCTTTGTTCGTGTCCGCGCACTTTGTTATGTGTTTAAAACTATGCCAGTCTCAAAAAGCTCGAGTACCACGAAAAAAAAGATTCCCTCCTTGCCTACTGCATTCCCCTGTATTCCCTGTTTCTACTTTTCTACTCTTTTACTTTTTTACTCTCTTACTCTTTTACTATTACCCAATCATCTGACGCCCCTTACCACGCCTTATTGTTTGTGGGTTTGCATGTACATATGGATAAGGTTATGTTTGTGTGGTTAGATTTTGTTTGTTTGTTGCTGTTGTTGTTCTGGGTTTATATGACTACTGCACTATGCTATATAAATGTATTGCATATATGTATGTATGTATATCTATGCTTCTATTTAGTATCTATAACTTCATCGGTACCGGTGTATCGGTATCATTAGCTGTATCTGTATTTGTATCTGTTTAGCTATAGCCGATGACACACACATAGACGAGTACGGGTATACCTCTACTACGGATTATGTATCTATCTGCCATGAGCAGACGTCTGTTTGGGACTCGAGTCCCTAATTACATGTATGCATTTTCTGTCGCACTTTTCTAGTTCCTAATAATACAAAAAAAAATCCGTACATATACTATGTATGCATGTATATATGTATGTATATGTTCCTTGACATCAAAAAATTATTTGATAACATACATTTAGTCCTATATATATATATAAATAATTATGTTTCCTGCGCCTGTTGACGGCACTCTTTCTTCTTAGTAGAGCTGCTTGGTGGATCGCATCTCCGAGATCGGGCATCGTCCAAGAGCTAACAGGCAACGGCCTCCTCGGCCGTCGCATCCTCGTCGATTTCGATTTCCCTGCCGCGGTCCGGGGAACGCCGGCGTCTGCGCCGTGTATTGGGCACTCCGGCGGCGCCGCCGGTGGCGCCCTTTTTCTTCACGAACTTGATGTTGTACGGATCCTCGGCGAGCTCCGGGTAGAGGGCCACGTCGTGGATGTACTCACCCTCGTAGTTGTTGGCATAGCTCTGCTTGAGGATCTCATCGCTCTCCTGCTGGGTCCACTCTAGGGCGGTGGTCAGACCGCTGCGCAGGGCCTCCTTCTCGCGGTGCCAGGCCTTACGGACAGCAGTGAGCTTGGCGTGGTGCATAAGGCGCTGCTGCTCCTTGGCGACGGTGGTGCCGTACCGCAAATTGATGATGGCATGAGCTCCATGGATCTTCACGTCGAGATAGTTGCCGCCCGAGGAGCCGGCAGTGGAGACCACCGACGATGAGGAGCCACCGGAGCCACTGGACCCAGCCGACCCGGCCGGTGCAGCCTCGCGCGTGATTTCGTGGAAGGTGGTGTTCACCTGCCCCTGCAGTCTCTTGAGCTGCTGCCGGTCCTCGCTGGCCCGCCACGCATCCTCTTTGACGAAGAAGAACGAGTCCTGCTGAGCGTTGTGCACCACAAAGGTGAAGGGCAGAAGCTTCGAACGGTTGAACACGCTCGTGTACACATCCCGATAGATCGCATTGGCCGCCGGTACGCTGGACACGATGGCCTGCCCGTCCGCCGTCCGGGAGACGACGATGCCCTTGCCGAAGGGCGGTTCCGTGTCGGAGCCGATGATGCGCGGAGAAGGGTCCATAACGTCGCACTTGAGGGCGGATCGCGGTGGGGCCGAGAGCTGCTCGAAGTCGGACATCCGGCGCACATTGAGGTGGGCGAGGAAGCCGCTTTCGACGGCCATTGTTGGGATATTGTCGAAGGGGCGGCGCATGTTCAGGGCAATGGGGTTAGCGGGCGGACGTCCCCAGAGAGCCGGCGGCTGCCAGAGGTCGCGGGCCAGCTGCGGCACCAGGTTGCCCACATTGTAGCCAAGGGTTTGCATCCAGCTGGAAAAGTCCTGTGGGTAGTGGCGCTCGTGGCCCACATTGATGGGATCGTTGCCATTGAAGCGGTACAGATGGAGCCGCGTGGGCGTGATGATGCGCTCGGCCACGCGCTGCCAGTCCGGCGACATCCACTGGCCAATCAGCGGATCGTAGACCCGGCCGTCGCCCATGTGCACCAGGGTGGTCACCTGGTCCAGGATTCCGCCGCAGAAATCGATCGGGAGATATAGATACGGGTTCGAATCGTAGACGATGTGGCCGAAGGGCGAGCGCATGATCTCGCGGATTCCTTCGCCGTACTGGTTAAAGAGCATCAGGGGCGTGCCGCTCTGGTCCGTGGCCACGTAGTATTTGTGGCGATACACCTGCGCGTATATCAGGTGGCCTACGTCGTCGTAGGTAAGCGACATCAGCTTGCCGTCGCGGGGCGAGTAGATCTGGGAGACCTCGTAGGGCCGCTGCTGGTTCGTGTAGAAGAACTGGGTCACGTTTCCAAAGTTGTCCTTCCGAGTGGTGAGCCGCTTGAGATGGTCGTAGTAATAGCGAACGTCGAAGCGGCCCCGCTTTGAGGCGCGCACCAGCAGGCCCTGCGTGTTGTAATGGAATCGCTCCTCCCGCGCATTCTGAGCCACCAGACCCCGGGCATCGTACTTGTACTGGCCCTCTCCGAACTTCACGATGCGGTCCTGGGCGTTGTACTCCATCGGGATGGTGTTGCCGCGGTAGGTGAGCGAGAGCAAATTGCCGTTATCGTCATATCGGAAGCCCCACGGCTCCTGCGCCTCCACACCCACCAGCTGCCCGTCACAGTCCCATGTGTAGTTCTTCACATTTGTGTAGCTATTCACGGCCATGTTCCGGGTGTAGGTGCGCGTCTGCGAGATGCGTCCGTGCACACCGTACGAGAACTCCATGCGAAATACCTCCAGACGATGTATGGCCAAGGCCATGCGCTGTGTCTGGAAACGTCCATCCACGGTCCGCGTGAAGCTGGCCGTTCCGTCGTGCAGCTGCGTCTGGTTTAGGGCGGGCCGCGTGAACTTGAACTGCCCGATGAGGCTGGGTTGTCCGGTACGTGGATCGTAGGCAAATGCCTGCGTCGGCAGGCTCTGGCCCCCGATGCGTCCTTGCAGGGCCACCACCCGCAGCTGGCTGTCGTACTCATAGCTGAACTTTGCGTTGCTCAGCCCTGTCTTGGCCACGTAGTCGATGCGCTCCTCGGTGAGGAGGCCAGCAGCGTACTCGAAGTCCCACCGATACTCTAGCTCCCGCTCCGCGTGCGACACCGTGCTGGGCATGCCGCTGGCCTCGTTGTACTGAAACTCGCTACGACCGTCCCCGTGGACCACCTCTGTGAGCTGGCCTGCCGCATTGTAGCGATAGACGATGCGCGCACCGTCCCCTGGAAGGATGGTCTGAAGCAGGGCCCCAGCGTGGCTGTAGTGCTGGAGGTAGGCGCGGGTGCTTCCCGGCGGCGTGTATGTGCAGCGGATGAAGCCAATGGAGGTCTGCATGCTAAAGCTGTGGCGGGTACCTGAGGGCAAGACCACGTGTCGGAGCCCGCCCGCGTCGTCGTACTGCAGCACGAACTTGCGCTGGCTGGCCAGCCCGATCTCGGAGACAAGGTTCCAGTCGTTGTACACGAACGATATGATACCGTCCTGCTGCGAGGTGATCTCCGAAAGTAGGCCATGCCTGTCGTAGCTGTACTTAAGCTCCGCGGGGCCCCAGGCCCAGCCTTCGACGCGGTTGAACCGGTCGTAGGTGATGTTCACCGGATAGCCGTTTGTGGGATAGTAGGACTTGGGCAGTCCGGACTGGTCGTAGGCCACGATTAGGATGGGGGTGCGTCTGCCGTCGTAGAAGGTCTCGCGGTTGGTGAACTGGTCGAACTCTACTCCGATAACTCGCGACTGGTTCACCCAGATCTCGCGGTTGAGTGTCTGCTGGGGATTGCGCACATCGCCGACTAGGTTGTAGACCGAATACATCGAGTTGGTGAGGCCGTCACCCATGGTGACGCTCTGGTGCGACCACATGGCCAGCATCTCTGCTTCCACGGGCAGGGCGGCCTCAAGTAGCGGGTGCCGGGCCACCGCAGAGGCCTCGACCACCACTCCGTTTGATCCGTGGATGACCAGGGTGTTGTTGGCCTTCAGTTCTGCGTCGGCATGGGCCAGGCCGCGCTTCAGAAAGGTAGATCGGACGCCGCCGAGGACTAGCAGCTCGTTAGCATCCACGCCGACAACGCGCTCGCGCGAGAAGAGTGACTCTACGGAGGCGTGCACGTAGATGGTTAGTCCCTTGTTGTCCGCCAGCTGCGAGGTGATGCGCACGATCTCGCCGCTGGGCAGGATCATGCCAGTGACGCGTCCGAACTCGTCGTACTGGTAGATATACGTCTCGCCGCCGGAGGAGCGCGAGTTAAGCAGACCTGTGTTGCTGTCGTAGTCCAACTCGATCTCCTGGCGCCCCTTCTCGCTCAGCTTGGTCATGATGCCGATGCCGTTGATCTGGATCTCCGACTTGTGGTCTTGCGTGTTCTCAATGGAGCTCACTACATTGCTGTAGTCGCGCAGGAACTGAATTTTGTTGCCCGACGCGTCCGTGACCGTGGACAACCGCCCAAAGCTCGTGTTCTTCGAATACAGGAAGCTGTAGCGCGTCTTGGCCGAGGTCAGGTCCTTGGTGGCTACATGCTGACCGTACCTATTGAATACATAAATCTCGCTCGACGGCGGGAAGGGAATGTGAAACTCTCCGTTTTCGTCGTGCGACGGCAGATAATGCTCCAAGGCCAAAACGTGCAAGGATCCTGGTGAATAAGAAAAGATATACACGATTGTCAGTCATGGAATTTGCCTCTATTACTAATAAAACTATTATTATAACAGCATGCTATGGCAGTATGTAGATATAAATATCAGATAATAAGGAATATTCGATTATGCTACACTCCTATCCATGTGGAAAATGTCTCCCAGACAGAATTTCTTTCGGAAGAAATAATTAATCATTAGAAATATTTTCTACGTAGTTCTATTTGGCTTCTTTTCTGTTGCAGTACAGCTCTATTATCCGTTGTTATGTCGCATCTTCTTACGAGTATTCCACTAGCAAAATTTGCTGAACACTTCGATTACCTCTCGCTGGCCCATAAAACAGTTTCTATTAACGGACAGGGGCGTGTTGTTCCCCAACTATTATCCCAATTCTCCTTGCCGGATAACTTGGCATGGTTTTGGACCTTTTTTTCTTTTAACTGGCCATCAAATTTATTCGCAATTCCCTTCGCCTGTCTCTAGATCTCTCCTCTTGCCTCCTTCGTATTGTTGATCATTTGCTTAAGCTAAATGCCAGATTCTGCCAGCTGTTTGTTTTTACAGTCACAGTTCTGCCCACACCCCTCATTTTCCAGACCTCTCCTCTGCTCATAAAACGCTTGAAGTTTTGATTTACTGCAAGTGCACAAATATAAAATGGCGTGGGTATGCTCTATGAGTCTTTTCTCTCTCTCTATCTCTCTCTTTGTCTCTGTGCGGGTGATGTCCCAAGTATTTTTGTGCAATTTGTTCCTCACCCTCCGCTCATCCAATCCGCCCATCCAATCCGCCCTCTGCTTCACCCATCGCCCATTGCACACCGACCAATGCACTAGTGCCACCCACATTTACGCCCACTGTTGTTTCCTCTGAAGCCCCGTTTCATTTTAGTTAGTGTTGGAAATCGCTTTGGATTTGCATAAATTTACTCATTCCTTCCGCAGCTACGCATCTCCGCACCACCCCACCGTCACGCCATCACCCCCTTTCGGATTTGCATTCCAAACAGGCAACAACAAAGACGATGACAGCGTTTTGTATAAGAATGGGGGTGTTGAGGGGAGTGACACTGCTAGAGGCCATTAACGTAGCATCATCACTGCTCTGACAACAACAGGAATCTATATATTACTATAATCTGCAGCATCTGGCCCACCGATCAATGCAGGATGGTACAAGAATGCTACTTACATTGCTCGTTGCTCGATTTACGGCAGCATGAAAAACTATTATTAAACTATTATAGTCGTCATGTAAATTTACAAAGTGTAATTTAAAGGTGTTTGTACTACGTATACCATCAGATACTTTAAATCTATCTTTGAAAATCTAAAATATACCATCTAAAACATTTATCAAACTCAATGTATTATTCATAAATGTATCCAGAAAAAGGATTGAAAGCTTAAGATTAATTTTCCCCAATAGTGGGTATTGCCTGTACTTGTTTGGAAAACCATAAATTTCCACAATTATCGTATGAAACAATTCCCCACTGACTATTTATTATTTTTTTGTTGCACCAACAGTTATGGAACTTTTGCTCCTTTGCACACATTTGCACAATAAAAATATTAAATACATTGTGGGCAATTTTTGTTGCTATATTTCGGGATGGGGATGGCGATGGGGATCGGAATGGAGACTGGGACTGGGACTGCGACTGCGGTCTGGCAGTGTTGATTTGATTGCGTTACAGTTCATTTACCCGGAGGCAGCGCACGCTGAACCAAACCTCCCATCGGAGACACATCCCTGACGTCCTCCTGCTTCCAACGCAGTCGGAGCGTAAGCCATTACGGTCTCATTTTAGAGGAGCGTTTGGGTTTCGGGTGTTCGTGGGAGGACTCAACCGGACTGTAATTGGGACTGTTGTTGGGTGTGGTCTGGTTTAGTCGGTTGGGTGTGGGGGTGGGGGCTGGACTGCGTCTTTGGGTCTTTGGCAGGGCGCCAGCCAGGCCAACGATTGAGCGAATTTCAATGCAATAAATGTGTGACACTCCGCTGGAAGTTGAACCACCAGAACCACTTGTCCTGACCCCACCTCTCTGAATGGGTGTGTGCCAGTGTGGTATGTGCTGTAATGTAATATAATGGCCCCATAAACTGAACAACTTGTTTGTGCCCAGTGCAAAGGTCTCCTGCCATTGTGTCTCCGAATGTGTCTCTCTCTCTGGCTGCGGGCTGTGGTACCCCGCTCTCAGGGGGTTTATTTTTACGGATTTATGTACATCGGAAACACTCCCACTACCCACTACCCACTAACACTCATTCTGTCCGCTCTCTAAGCTTTAAACAGTCTTCATGGATGGCCTGACATATGTCCAAAACGTAGGAAAAGTTAATATAGATGGAGACTCAACCCAGTTGGCGGATTGAAGTGAAAGTAAGAAAAAGTCGGTATATTCAATACACCTCTCTGTATTTGTCCACTCTTATTTGATATTCTTGGTGGCGCAATTTATGAAATAGTTTTGCACAAATGCAGACGCAGTTTCTCCCCTCCGGCACACGTTCACACGTACTCTCAGGGTGGAGGAGGGGTAGAAGAGAACTCCACATAAGCTGTGAGCTTTTAATGAAGCTTATTTGCGTGAGGGCTCCAGCGGCAATGAGAGCATCATAAACTCTGAGCTAAACCTCGGAGCGAGCACACGGGGTGCATTTACATATGTATATATTCTTGTCTCCACACACATGCATTGATACACATATGTACATATACATACATGCACATAAACATACACATAAACACTCTCACTCGAATAGAAGAAATCGCAGACTGTTGATTAATGTATTGCAGGGGGAGTGGTTCGTAGTTTGGGGAGTTTGGGTCTGAAGTTTTGTCTGAAGATTGGGGTGGAAGGTAAAGTTGGCCAATTCGATTCCGCGTAGGTAATAAGATTGATTTTCACTTTTTCGCTTTTCACACTTTTGCTGGAAAAAGGGAGGGGGTGAACCAGTGGTAGAGACACTGGGCAGCCATCACTCACACGTGTTCCCAAACTTCCCACTCCCGCACAGTAATGTCGACGACTTAAACTTGATTAATTATGGCAATTGATTTGCTTTCCACGGCTTCATCTCTGCCACTGCCATGGCCACGGCCACTGCGAGACCCAGCTCCCGCCCCAGCCCGCATGTCTGGCTCGTCATTAATTTGCGTTGCCTGCCATCCGCCGCCACTGAATGGCCGGACCACCCTTTGTCCATTCCGTCTGAGCGACCCATCGTTAGCGCTGGAGTACGAGAGCAGTCCTCTAGTCCATCCATCCGTATCTATCCACCCTCTCCCATTGTGGAAATTTATTAATTACATTTTTGGTCTTATCAAATTACGCTTTGCTAATGCACTCAAATTTATACCTTCGATGTTTTTTGAGCTTTAGCTTACGCTTTCACATTTGGCTTCTTCACTCTGCCTCTCTCCCCTTCCCCTTTTTCTTTCACTTATTTATTGGCAGCCATTTTGTTTTGTGTGTTTCTTCTTCTCCCTATTCCGATGAAGGGCTGGTGCTACCTGTGTGTGTGTGTGTGTGTGTGTGGGTCCTAATTTGTCCTCGTTCGAATTGTAACGGAAATTGGTTTCGCTTTTTCCTTTTCAGGGCTCTCCAACTCCTCCAGTACCTTCGATTACAGTCCCATCGCATTCCCGCCCCCATGCCGGCCTTCACTGGTCCCCTTTATTCTGCGTGTCCTTTTCTTCCTGTCTACCCCGCCACATTCTTCGATATTCGAGCGACATAATGGCCAATTACAACAGCAATTGCTTGCTTTTCCATTGTTCAGCGATGTTACTGCCTGCTCTTGTTCCGTTGCTGTTGCTGCTGTTGCTGCTGTAGTTGTTGAGTTTTTTATTTTTTTTGTAAAGGTTGTTATTGAGCTTTTTATTTTTGAAGAATTTGTTGCTCTAGTTGTTGTTGAGTGTTTAGTATTAATGAGAGTGTTGTGGCTGGGTTCACGGTAGATGTTGTTGCTACGGAATTTTGTATAAGTATAATGGATGGATGGATGGATTGCGGTTGCGGTGGCTGCTGTGGCGGTGGCAGTATCGTAGAAAATTGCCGACTTTGGTTCAGATCTGATCATCGTTATAGCTAGACTGAAGAAATAAAATTGCATTGGCTAAGCTACCCCTTTCCAGCACTGCAGCGCCTAATCATTCTCTATCTTTCTCACACCCTCTGCCTTGTTCAGTGTGCGCCCTTTGGCGGAGGAGAAGGAACTAGAGAAGAGGGAAAGCGACAGAGGTAGCAAAAAAAATGGAAACAGATAAAATATTTTAAATTCGACAAATATCATGTATGTCATACATACATAAATATTGACTGAGTACCGGGTATGAATTGAATGGCGCGGCGCGGCTTAAGCAGCGCCTCCCAACGTTCCCCATCGATTTGTTTTGTGTATTTGAGGCTGTTATTTCTGGCGTTCTTCTGAGTGTTGTTGTAATTCTTGATAAGGTTCTGTTGAGGGAGTTATTGTTGTCTTATTTTTGTGGGTGTCATTATTATTTTTATTGCACATATAATTCGTTCGTTGCTTTTGCGTTTTGTGTTTTGCAATATTTCAAATTTCAACAACCGCTTCACTTTTTTGTGCCTGCAGATAAGATTTTCTATACTTCCCCCGCATCCTATTTTTTCTCCCTTTTTAGCGATTGTTAACACCCACATATACACACGCAAACATAAACAGAACAATGGTAAATAAGGATCAAAAGCAAAATTCTGATTTCCATGCGAATGTATCGGGGGTTGTGGGGAAGTTTGATTCTGTCGTGCACACAGCGTGGGAGGATAACTAATTTTTAGGTTTATAGGTACATATGTACATAGGTATCTGAAGACAGTCGATGACCGACGATTAAGATAATGTGCTGTATAATCTGTAGATCATAAATATATTTGCCCAATGGATTAACATAAGCCTACATATGAAAACCATAAATCTTATTAATATTATTCAAAAGCCACTCACCTTGATCTGCCACATTGATGACTCCGTCCTGAGCCACGGCGATGGCCGAGATAGCCTGGAAACGTGCGTTCGATGAGAGCAGGGTCTCCGCATTGCTCAGGGTTCCGTCGTCGTTGAGGGTCGCTCCGCTGCCGATGCCTGAGGCGGTGGTCTTCGCCCCCAGGAGCACGGTGGTGGTAGTGGTGGGGCCGGTGGACATGAGGCTGCCACCGCCGACGATGCTGGCCAGAGTACCGCCACCATTACCGGTGCCCGAGCCGGAGCCGGAGCCCGAACCTGAGCCAGAGCCAGAGGTGGAGAGCGTGCCGATGCCGAGGCCACCAGGACAGATACAGGCTGCGGAGCTGCCGTTGCCCGTGGCGACCGTGGCGGAGGCAGAGGCGCTGCCATTGTTTCCGTTTCCGCCCGCCGGGGTCGTTGGGGTGGTTCCGCCACTATTGCGTGTCGGGTTCACGGTCGTAGAGTAGGCGCCAGCACTGGCCCCGCCTAGTCCAGCCGAGGCCGAGCTGCCGTTGCTGCCCGTTCCAATGCCGCACTCGCAGGTCTGGGAGCTGCTCGGATTAAGGGTGAAGCGATTGAGAGGGAAGATAAATGCATGGATAAATTGAGAGTTAGTGGTGTAACAGGAAATAATTTTAGCTAGGCCTTGCTTCATCTCCTGGCTATCCCCATTCGCACCCCTTTTTGCCACTGCACTGCTGCTGCTGGTGCCACTCGAAACGCGTATTTATGATGACATTGTTTGTTCGATAAACATTCCACAGTAAGGGCAGCTCAGTTCTTCGCTTATCGCTGGCCACGCCCACACAGCAGACACTGACAGAGGGACGGAAGCGGATACGGATACGAAGACACACACAAACACACCCACAAGAAAACCGGAGACGAAGAAAAAAGACCCAAGACAACAATAAAATAAAAAGGGGGTAAGCAAAGTTGATTTATAGTTTCTGTCTGTGGCGCAACGGCTGCTAATTACTTTGCCACGTCTGGCGGCTACGCCCTCGTACTATTATCCCCCACCCAACTGACCCACCATCCATCTCCACCTCCGGTTAGACCCCTCCGGCACCTGATGCCATTCCCATGACCCATGGTTCGGAGCCCATATAAAAGTGCTCCCCGGAATTCTATTTGCTTAAATAAACTGTGGACCCTCGTCTGGAATTGAATAAAGTTGCACAAATTGTTGGTTCACTTGTTTGCTATCCTCACCCGTCTTCTGCTGCCTCTTCCCTCATAATTCCCCCCTTGGGTCCCTTGAGTTTTCAGCATTTTTTTGGACGCCACTCAAAAAACCAAATTAATTGGTTTAGTGTAAAATTTTCGATGTAAATCGGAGGCCTCATAAAATTAGGGTTTTTTTTTTGGTGTGCGTGTGTGTGTCTGAGTAGTGCTAGCCGACTAACCCTCTCAGGATATAGGGATAGGAACGCCACTCTCCCTAATGCGCACTTCCGATTTAGTATATCGATTCTTGTGCTCTTTACTCAACTGCTGATTACCGGCTTCACGTTTGATTCTTGTGCCTTTCTATTCAAATTCACAAATTTATTTAACCTCCACTCTGGAAACCCTTCAGCTAGTTTCCCGACGTTGTCCAACACTGAACTCATTCTTCTTACTCGCTTTTCCACATTTCGACTGGATTGCCCCTGAAATGGAAGTTCATTGACTGCTGCTGTACCATTGTGGCCCCAGTATGCATGCCCTGGTATCCCCCCCCACCAGCGCGATTTAATCAATGTAGGAATGCAAATGGCTTTAGTGCCTCTAGTCACCACACACACATACACACACACACACACATGTTCTATACATGTATATATACATATATTTACATATATACACATATGGTGGTATAGTAGTTGTATACATGGGGCCCATGAAAAATCCGACAATGAAATTCCCCAATGTGAGAATTCCAATTAATTTCTGGTCACCGTTTCCAACGCCTTCAAAACGGGTTAATAAAGTCAAATAAAGTTAACAGAGGTCCACATCGAAAGAGGTTATCTATAGCAAGAGAGCGACAGAGACACACAGATGGGATGGAGATAGAGCTAGAAAGAGAGAGGAGGTGATAGACACTCTTTGGGGCATTTGCCTAGTTGGCATGACATTTATGGCCGTTTTGGTGCATTGGAAATTTTGTGCTGCTCTTGCTGAATTTTTTATTATTTATGCCCACTCTGTCGTCCATTGCTCTACCCTGCCATACCCCTTATATCCTTTGCTTACCGTCTACCACTACAGTGTACTGTGTACGTGTGTACGTTTCCCGTTTGTCGTTGGTGGTAGACATTTTGAAAAACTGGGTGATATCGTTCGGCAATATGCAAATAGCCCGGAGCTCACTTAATTGGGTCAAGTATGCACATAAACAAGTCCGAGTGGAGTCAAACCCCAGCTCCGTTTCAGTTTTCTGTCCTGCTCTATACAGACGCGTGCCCCGTGCCCCCGGAAATGTGGGCTTCGACCACATTGGCAGTCATGTTTACCCGGGCCCAGTCAATATTTGAGTGTGAAAACCAATATGAATGCTCTAGTCGAGTGTTCCAAATGTACGAGTATACGACTTCCGCCACCAAAAATTATATATTCTTCGTATGACCTCTTATTGGTTGAAAATGATCTATGATACAATTAAAATTGTGCTCTATCGTTGTGAAACATGTTCCATCTGAGGACACAATGGGCTGCCTTTCAATTTAAGGAAGCATAAAAAAGGGTGTGGGACTCATTAAAAAAATATTTCATTTATGTACATACATATGTACATATGTACACAATACAAAATGAACAGACATTACAGTCGAGTAGCTAATCAAAGCTCTGCCTACTACCAAAGACTATACAATAGCTAAGATGCTGCTTAAGCGACCAAAAACAGGTTCTATGGCTACGTCCCATGTACAGAGAGAGCCGCGCGGGCTTTCAATTCTCTTTTCGGCAGCCCAATGTCTTCGTCTGCGCATGCACATGCATGCATTTCGCACAGTGGGGCCTTTGCCTACATCAGATGGTTAAATTAATACATACATAAGTACCAAGAAGAGTCGAACTAAAATTGAATGGGCATTCGTTCCTTATGCAGCATCTTGGAATTGTATTGTCTTTGCTACTACACATTTTGGGTTATGGATAATCTAAGCCGTAGATTCTAAGGACTCATAGACCGTGGCTATCTCGTGACGGGGATGTGTACTTACCCAGTGCCCTCCTGCTTGCCGGCAAAGTATCTCATGTTTCCAGCCGTGTCTACCACTCGAATGGAGTTGATGCGTCGCGAGTCGCTGTCCGCTATGTAGAGATCGCCGAAAGGCGAGAAAGCCATGGCCAACACGGTGCCTAAGACGTTGTCGGTGATCGTTTTGTTCACGCGGCTGTCCTGTCCGTTGTTACTGCAGTGCAGTGGGGTGCCAGCTACGACGCGTATCTTCATGTCCGAAGTGAGGCGCAGTACGAGGCGGTCGTCGATGAAGTGCAGCGAGCCATCCAGGGGGCTGAGGGCCAGGCCAGTGGGCCACTGCAGCTGCGCCTGGTTGGCCATAAGGGTGCCGGTGCAGGGCGCGGGGCTCCAGTGGTTGTGATGGCCATGGTGGCCGATCAGCGTGTGGATGATGCCCTTGGAGTCGACGGCCCGGATGTTGGTTCCGTCCGCGATGTACATGGTGCGGTCCGCGGCAATGGCCAGTCCCTTGGGGTGTGAGAGTCGCGCCAGTAAGGCTGGCCCGTTGTCACCGCAGTTGCCCTCGTCACCGGGGATGCACCGCTGACCGCTGCCTACCACCGGGTCGCTGTTGATGCTCGGGTCCTTAACTTTCTCGAGGCGCAGGAGACGCAGGATCTGGTGGCGCTCTGGGTCGGAGATATACAGGTGACCGTCGGCGGGCGACACGGCCAGGTAGTACTGGTACGAGACCTGGGTGGCGCTCAGCTGAAGGATGGTGAACACCTTGCCATCGGGCGTGATGCGGCGGACCAGGTTGAAATCGCCCACGTAGAGACTGCCGTCGGGGCCGGTGGCCAGAGCGATGGGAGTCAGCAACTTGGCGTCCTTAGCCACCCCATTGCAGTAGTCTGGACAGTTGAGTGGCCGCTGCAGGCCGGTGCCCATCACCACCTTTACGGTACGCGGGTACTCCTTCATGTGCAGGGTGCTGCCGTCGCCCTTCTGCAGGATCCCCTCGTGGAAATTGTAATGATGGTGGATGTCCAGCCCCCAGCCGCCAATGTCCGAGATGTCTACGTCGTAGCCCTGCAGCTTAGCCGTCTGGGTAATCCAGACGGGCGTCTGGCAGGTGGTGTGCTGGTAGCCCACCGATATCCGGGCGATCGTCACGCCGTACACCTTTTGTCGGTACACGTTGCGCTTATTCCAGGCAAACGTGTGGATTAGATTCGGATCCGCTTCGTACGTCTTCACGTGCAGCGCCCCCTCGATCTCCACACCCACGTGAACATGGGTCAGGGTCTTGGGTATCGTCTCCGAGGTTAGCCGCATGCGGACGATGCTCAGGTAGCCCGAGGCTTGCGACGACTGGTAGGTGAGGTGCAGGTCCGAGCCGGGTATCTGTATGGACTCCTGGACAATCTGTGCGGCATGAAAAAAGAGAGAGAAAAGGTCATCAGAGGACCGCAGCTGGACAGCTTTGAGTGCTGCAATTAAACGTGCCCCGAGCATGGGCACGGGCTCGCCCCTTCCCAAGCAGAATTAATGTTCTGCCGGCGCTGCCCCTTCTCCTGCTCCTGCTGCTGCTCCTGCCTTTGCTTAGACTGCCAGATGCAAAGTTATAATGTCATTACGGCAAACTTTAAATTAATTAAAAATGCGCGCTGCGCCGGTCCAGATGCTGCCAGGCCGCTAATTAGGAATGGCATTAGGGCAGGGAGCCCAGAGTGCCTCTACAGAGAGCCAGCCGACCAACCGAAGAGAGGAGGAGTCCCATCTATGGGAAAGAGGGGAAGGGCACAGGGCCACAGGACACAAGGACACATACCTGAGTCTCGGCAAAGATAACCCGCTTGCCGGGCATGGCGCCCACGCCATTCGGCATCCAGGTGCTGATCAGCTGTGGTCTCAATTTCTCGTGGTCGTGGTCCATGCACACCTTACTGGCATCATTAGCCTCATCCGCCGTGTGGTAGTGTATGGAATTTAGGAACGTCAAGGCCGGATTCAGGGGCGCCACCCTGGAAACACACACGCACAAAAGTACAAACCATAAGATCTGCTCCCCTGTACATCCCCTTCGGCGACTTACTTTATGTTGCGACTGGTGGTCTCGTCGTCATCGCTCAATTGCATCTGGACGGGCGGCAAAACTACGATGCGGTTCCAGGGCACAAACACGGTGCGCGTCAAAGGGCGGAACGGCGATCGCTGGAACTGTAGGGTGACCGCTCCCCCGCCATTCACGAGAACATCAAACCTGAGAAATAATCGGACAGCGATGTAGATTGCGGGTTGGGAATGAAAAGGAATATGAAATTAGTACAAAACTTGAAGGCAAACATGTAAATTAATATTTTAATGAACTTCAATCGAACCGAACCCATTCACAGACATCCGGACTTGGTGGTGGATTGTGGATGGAGGTGGGGGTGGTGGTCTGGCAAGAAACTCTAATACCTCAATTGTTTGTTGGAAATTGAAAAACTTTAGATTTTTGCTTGATTGGGCTCCCCTCTTGGCCGGTCCCCTCACAATGCCGTTAGCCGCATTAAATATAATGATGGCGATTTCGAGGCCGCCGCCATTATTGCTGGAGCAATTTCCAATTCCAGTGTCTGGGTAGAGGAGACGAAAAGTTGCACAAACTTCTACCAGAACAAGAACAAGAAATAGGAAAAGACGCGATAGAGTCTGTTTGAAAACAAAGGCCGGAACAAAAACCAGAAAAATACGGAAAGGAAAGGGGAAAAATATGGAAGAAGCTCTACGAACTCTCCAAAAACAGTAATACTTTTGTTTTTATTCTCGCGACTCGAAGAGTTTAGGGACCATATTGGTTTTTTCGTCGAAGTGGATGTGTGTAATACGCAGAATATTTTCCGACCATATAAATTATATTTAATTATTGCAATTTTTAACTGTGCTTGGAGCGAGCAATTGAGATATATCACGACAACAAACAAAGAAAGCGGAGCTTAAGTTTGCTTTAAGTTTTCCTGCACTGGAAATACCACAAGCTTGTAATAAATGACATAGCATGAAACATTAAATATCCCCCATTTAAGAGGCGACCAAAGCGGGTCATAAACGAAACCATAAACCAGGACAGCATTAACAAAGAGTGGCAGCAAAAATGAAAAAAAGAAAACAAGAATATTCTGTAAAATTTGTTACAATTTTTACTAATTTAATTTTAGTGTTTTCCTCATTCTCCAGCACAACTGCTGTTGTGGCTGCCATAATGCCGGACTGGACGGGCATAAAGTACTATCACACACAACCATACACACAAAGGCATACGCTGATACAGAGTTCGCTGTGGCCGGGTATTGCATACATTCTGGCGCGCATTCATTCATTTGTAATTGAATTGGATTTTATGAGGCTGACCAGAGCCAGGGGGTATGGGGGTGGTGGGGAAACCATTTAGCGGAGGCAACAACCCGAAAACATATACCACTCACAAACACACACATGGAAACTCCCGTTTCAGGAAAGGAATGAGGGAGAGAGAGAAAGAGAAAAGAGTCTAATAACAATACGTATGCAACAACAAAAATGCCAACCATAATCCCTGCAGCACAATATAATGACTTTTATTACCTTTATTACTATGATAACAAAAGCAACAACCAACAATGCATGTCCGACAACAACAAGAAAAGCTAGGAAAAATCATGGGAAAAGCTAAGAAAAAGCAATAGGAAAGAGAGCGAGGAGCCAGCCGACAAAGCAATGAGAACGTCAAGACATAAGGGGAAGCAAAATGGCAACTTGGAACAACAATTGTTGCTCCTTCCGCCATGTGTGTGGGCAGTGGGTGGGTATGAGAATGTGTGGAAAGCTTATAAAAGTAAACTCAAATTGAAATGAACATTATAAGCATAAAACCAGAAGATCCTTAAGAACCAGCAGAATGAACCGCAATATATGCATACATATGTATGTAAATACATATGTGAAAAGAGGTGGATTGACATTTGTTTGCAAGATGGAATAATGGGGGGAAATGCAAAATGGGGCACATAAGCAGCAGTGACATTCATCATACAAATACAGTTAAAATCAGTTATATCCTTTTCCAGGAAAGATATAAGTTAACCTTGAGTGGAAGTAAGTAACAGTCAAAAGTCAATCCGAAAAGCTTCTGCGAGTAGCGCATTTTAGTTTCAGAGTCGTTGCAGCCTGGCTCGAAATGAGGTAATAGAGTATTGACCTGTAGTATGCTGCCTTGACGCGAATATCTCCTCCTATACACAGCCAAAAATAATTTGAACATAAACAGGAATTATAGCCAGCCAACAACAGGAGCAGCAGCAGACAGCTGCATACGAAATAACAAGGCCAATACACAGAAAAAACTTTAAACTCCCTTGAAAATTCCAGAAAGTAGAGAGGCTTCACGAGGCAAAAGCCATGCAGCAGGCAGCAGGAAAATACATAACAACAAAGTTGTCATAATAAAAATACATAAATACTAGCTGGGGAATTTATGCCACAATAAAATCGGGGAGCAGCAGCAGCACCGGAAGAAGCAGTACCAGCAGCAGCAGCAGCAGCGGAAGTAGTTCCAGATCTGGACATATTTGTTAGTCGGTGCGGTACTGCTGTTGCTTTCGTCCTGATTTCCAAAGCTAATGACGACACTGGATCGGTTTTAAGCGACAAATTTTTCCTCATGTAATATTCGCATGAAAAAAAAAAAAACTAAATGAACGTGTTCTATATCATGAAAATTCTTATATTTTACAAAATTAAATATGTGAAGGTTAGATAGAGGCAGCTACCAGTCAGTGGGTAAAAACTAAGAATTAGAAATGACGGCAAGGCGCCGAAGGTCACACCTAGCTGGACAGACGACAGGCACATACATATGTATTTTACAGCAGGGCAAGGCATCGCTTACTTGGCCATTCGGCTAATGAGAAATTATGGCCGCATTTACTCGTAGGTAAAAAATAGTCACCGAGAATATGTGCTGCGTACGGAGTCGTGTTGTGTCTGGCCCATATAGATATGGTCTGTTGTGTACGAGTGCATATATGTACATACATATATACATATGTACATATGTGTGTACATATACCTGACTGTTTGCCCAGACTAATGCGAGTGTGTGTGAGAGATTGAAATAAATAAAGTCCGTCTCTGGAAGCAAACACAAATAATCATCAGACTGTTGGAGCTCTGGGTCCGTCTGTCTGTTGCACAGATTTTGTTCGTGAGGCATGCTCCTGCTTCTGCTCCTACTGCTTGGCCATAATAAAATCAGGGAAAGACGGGTGCGAAATGTTTATTTAAATTGGCCAACACACACATACACACACACAGACACATGAAACAAACACATACACAAAAGGCAGTTTGCTGATGGCTGCAAACGGAATTCCTTTTCCAACCCCCCCAACCCCTACATACCAAACAAAAGAATGGAGAAAAACAATTGCAAAAATATTTATATTAGATATATTGGATTGCCCACTGGCTGACACAGCCACTGCTTCTCCATCCCTATCCCCTTTCTCAGATGGGAATGCATATACCCACACACCTTCTCGCATCTGTGCCATGTCTATGCATCTTTGATGGGCTCAATTAGAGGACTATACAGAACTGGTAGAAGTTTCTGTTTCTTTTGCTGGAAAGCAATTCGTACAAAATAACAAATAATTGAAACTAATGTGTTCCCAGCTCGGGCAGTCCGGACGTATGGCCCGGCCTATACTTTGCGGCTGCTGACCAATCTGTCACTGCCCTGTAGTCTGCTCTAATTATGCTAACCGCTTGTGCAAACTTTGAGACAGCAGCCCGAAGAAGTTTCCGAGTTCTGACGGGGGCCACATCAAAGCAAAAGATTTAATTAAAAATGTGATAACTTCGTCGCACTGTTGCCTGGTCGGTTTATAATTTTTTTTTTTTTTTATAAGTATCTGCTGGCCATCATCTGCAGATTCCATCATCACAGATTTAATCAGGATGGATCAGGCCAGAGCCGGCTCGGATAATGAGAATTTACTCATACGTAAGTAATTTTCGTATATCAAAAAGGTATAATCGCCAGTGTTTCTGAAGCTTCCATCTGGTCAAAGACAGGTTCTTAGTAATTTGTGTAGTGTTACGGAAATTTATTTTGCTGATACACAAGTGCTGTAATTTGAGGTTCATGTATATCTGAATACTCTTATATATAGTATGTTCTTCCCATGGTATAGAAGCCTTAGAAAATATAGTTTTAAATAGCTTCAAAACATAGAAAGTATACAGATATTAATGGATTATGCTTACCAGCCTCCTTGGCGGGTGAGGGTGAACCCGAAGCGTGAGTCTCGATCTACAGAGACACGAATGCCGACGATGCCAAGTCCCTGAGGAGTGATCACCTGTCCTCGCATCACAGACACGCGACTGTAGAGATGCGTCCAAGATCCAAGGCAAAGATAGTATTGGGGAGTTTCGGTATTTATGGATGGGGAAAAATAGAAATTGATCTGTTAGAATCTTTTAATTTTTGGTATTTTCATTGGTTTTATTTTGTTTTTCTATTAGATTTTTTTGTTTGTTTTTTTTTTCCAAATTTGTGGTTTGTGATTGATGAAATCATAAGATTGAAAAGTGAAAAAACATCGAACAATTGTTGTATGTAGTTTAGGTAGTTATGTAATATCGGATTAACGCAACTTGGGGATACAAATAAACGATTCGATTGATTTGCTTTTGTCTCTAAGACAAACCAAAGAAAACTTAAGGTATGCAATAATATGAAGAAATATTTATATAAAGATATTTAAATTTTTGTATCTGTTTTCTTGGTACGAGTATGCATATGTATAGGTCTAGATATATATATAGTATACGAGTATATGTATGAATAGAGAGAGAGAGAGAGAGATAGATTGTGAGATAGTGACAGGGGGTAGGGTGGGGAGTTGTGAATGGAATGGAATGAACCTTGTGACATGAGCAAGGAGTAGGAGTAGTGGGTTCTGTACATAGTATCTGTATCTGTGTCTGCATATTTATCTTTGTCTATGTATTGGCGGAGTTCTTTGTGGGACAATCTCAAAGCGTTTTTCTGGCGGGGGATTATGCAGTTATTGAAAGTTGGATGTGTACGTGATTGAAACTGTGTTGTGGAATTACTTGAATGTCCAACAATCGACTGCGGAAAAAATAACAGGAGGCCAAAGGAGGGGAGAATGCGAGCATGGGTAGCCGTACCTGCACCCGTACTTCCCCTGTTTCATCTCGTATTTATCTACGAGTACGTACAGCTACTGGTGTCTCCAGCTCTTTCTTGTGAGGGAACTGGGAAATAGGTAATGGGGAGTGAAAGCACAAATTTCATTTGGCACGCAGAGAATGAAGTTAAAGTATCGAGTTTGGACTCCCAATCTACTTTCAATGGAAAGATTGGATTGCTTTAAGCTGTTCATAATTAAAGAGGTTGAGGACGGAGCAGCTGTGGACTTGGGACTGGACTGGTTTGAGACGGGATGATAGTATGAGAACTAAGATTCGTTGGGGATCTGAGGAGAAATGTGTATTGAGAAGGATTGAGGGTTTGATTAGTAGCTCGGGCTATTGATGGTTTAATTGGATCGACGGCATTTATCGATATTAAATATTCTGTGTCATTTGTTTTTCTAATAGTAATCGGTGTTTTATTTTTGTTGTCTAAGGAAAAGGCGGCCAAAAAACAGAATTAATAAAAAACAAAGCTATGTGAAAATATTGGGAAAAGGTCTTGTCGCTTTTTATCGGATAAGAATATAATTCCTCTTTTCAACAGCTGCAAATTCTTTCTGATCTGAATATTGGGCTTAAAGATTGTTTCTGTGATATTTGATCGCTATCGGTTAATAATGGAATACGCATAAAGTAGCCGCCGTGGTGACAACGTTCACATTTTCATCGTTTATATACGATCGTAAAAATGTAAGACATCGATAGATTACTTCGATACGAAATTCTGTTATCGACAGCTCGACTAATAACCATCAATGGCCCACGCCGTCAGCTATCTATTTATTCTATCAGAGTATTTTAAAAGACATGCATTTGATTAACAACTATTATGGAAAAAACTATTAAAATTCATTATTCGATTGATTAAATTTCCTGCGATACTTCATAGATGTGGCTAGCGATAGCTAGACCAACGATAATTGAGAGAAGGAAACTAAAACGGTGAATGTACATGATGAAAAGAACAATTGTAAATCAAAAAGCAAATGGCGGGTCAGCCATTGGCTGGCGACTCTATACAATATCGTTGAATTGTCAATCGGCTGCAATGCGATACTCTTCACGGGGTGAATAGGTGGGGTAAGTACCCAGTTGCCCTTGCCGCGTCCTTGGCGGATGTCTTCTGTGGTATTTTCATAGTATATACGATGCGTGCGACAGGCAGGCAGGCCGTCAGCTAAAAAACAAAATCATTTCCATTTGCATTTCCATTTAATGAGCGCTCCTCCCAAAAGAAACTATGGCAACCCTAGCGGAGCTGCTTTCTGCTGCTGGCTTTCTTCTTTGTCACACGAATCGCAGGGCTGCATGGCGCAGAAGGAGCCAACAATGAACCGATATCCGATTTCAAGTTTGCCAATTTATTATGACAAAAGTCAAAAGAAGGGAGCACACGAAATGTGCTTTATATTTTCAATGGGTGCTGGGGGGATGCTATAAATATACTTGTAGAAAACTGAAATGGTTCTTGAGATGGCGATGGAGCCGAATGGCAAACCTTGAAACAAAATTCCACAGTGAGTCAGCAACAGGACAGGACACGACGGGGTAGGATATGGCAGGACAGGACAGGACAGGGTGAGCAAAATTTGCCAAGGATATCGGAAACTGGCGCAATTGTTTGCACTAATTACTGTAGAGTTAAGGAGAATCTCTGCCTGCTTCCATCACACAGGGGTCCAACGACGTCGTCAGGTGAACCTGGGCCTGGTCTTGGGCTTGGGTCCGAGACAGGACTGCAGTTGGCCTCTTTAAACTTTTGTGCCAGCGCAAGTTCTCAAAAACATTTTCAAGTTTTCAAGTGATGCAATTTCTCTTGTACCTCACTCTTTCCCTCAGGGTCCGTTCCGTCCGTCCGTCCCTATGGTTGCTTGCTGTTGCTGATGACCTCCCATATATATCTCTTCCTCCTGCCCTTCTGACTGCTGGTTGCTGACTGTGTGTGAGTGTATGGGTGTACATAAACACATAATGTACAGTATTTGGGTCAGAGTTTTATGTGCACTGTTGCATTTTTATTAGTGATGGTCTTCGGAACGGTTGATCCGCATTGGAATTCTTGAAGAGTGGCCAACTTCTTCACAGACTTCTAATTGCAATTGACCAAGTGGCAAGTGGCAAGAGGCAAGAGGCCCAAAGCCGAATACTCCCACAGCCCATCTTCTATTGCTATTGCTAATGCTATTGCTTCTATTGCTGTTCAATTTCTGTTCAATTTCTGTTCACTTGCCACGGCTTTCGTTCATTTTTGCTGCTTCAATTCGATTCAATGAAGCAAAATTTTATTTGAAATCAAACCGAGAAGCATATTGCATGTGTGTAAGTATCCTTCTATCAGAGTGTGTGTGTGTGTTTTGCGACTTAAAGTGTATGTGTATTCCAATTCATTGAAGTGAAGAGTGGTTTTTATTTCGCATTTTATTCGTTTCGTTTCGTTTCATTTATTATTTATTTGATTTATTTGAACTGCAGCCAAGGAACAGAACAGAAAAGAAGCTCCTCCCCGTTCTTTTCTTTAGGCCAATTGAACCCATTGGCCTTCTGGGGCTGCCATCATGCCCCTGCCCCTGCCTCTGCCTCTGCCCATGCCCTTCCCACTGCCCAACTGCCAGCCAGGTAAATCACTCATACGCCACCGAAAGAGCCCACTCGAATGTCTTCAGCACATTTTGTTTTGTTTGCCTTGGTTCGCTTTGCTTCGCCTCTCGTCTCGTCTTGACTCGTTTCGGTTTGAATTGGTTTGATTTGGTTATGAGAGGCGTTTCACTTTGATTTTTTTACCATCAAATTGTTGCACCACCTCCAATTTATTCCATGTGCCACAATATGCTATAAAGTGCTGAAACTATTCAATGTAAAACGGCACAGGGGAACCGTTTCTTGAGTGCAGTTTCCAGCTAATTTTCAATAGTCTTAAAATGGGAAAGAAATCGAATTGAATCGAAGCTAAACTCCGGCGGATCAAAATAAGTTGGGGACTCCATCAATCCAAAGCGAATACACAATTACGATTGTGCATTCGATTTTCCCCGTTTCAGCGGAAGATATCAAAGTCGTGGAAGAACGAGACCAATAGAATCTCATTTCTGCATTGTACAAGTGCTCGTATCTTTTTGCACTCTTTCTGACAAAAACTTTTCAATCAGCTCCCCATTATTATCATTATCAGCATCATCATCAGCGATGGCCACTCAAAATTATGATGCAATAAAGGCATTTAGCTAAGGAATAAAATGAGATTGACGAGCATTCACGAAGGGTTCAGGAAAAGCAATCTAGGGGGACTGAACTGGCCCTGCCTTGAGAGGGCCCCCAATGAAGTGAAAGCAATGCCACAAAAATTTCTAATCTCATTCGCAACAGCCAAAGATGGAAGCGACCTCCTCCGTCTAATCGTCCTTGCCATGAATGAGCAATAAAGGCGACGACAAAGGTGGCCAGGACCGAGACTAGCAGCCGCAGCAGGAATAAAAGCAAGATGAGAACGAGGATGCGGAAGAGGAGGAGGAGGACCAGAACCAGGAGCAGGACCAGGAGACTCTGAACCAGGGCGAGGCAGAGGCATTGTCGCTACTGCACCTTTTGTGTCAAAAGTGCACTTCCATTATTAGCGCATTGTGTGGTGAGGAGGTGGCCGTGAGGGCAGCGAAATATGAGAAGATTGCGCATAAAGGAAGTACATTTAATTTCTTTTCTTTTTTAACTCTGGCAGAGCTGTCAGAAGAAGCCGGGGAGTGGGTGGATTTGTGGCCATTCATAAAGCGGCTGCCTGCCTTTCAATTGCACCACGAGCCGAATGCGAGCCGTGCCCCTGCTCCATTTTGGCTTATAGCAACACACAAAGTGGCGGCGTCTCCGGTTCCATCGCCGTCGTGGTCGTCTTCCCATCATAAAAATTGAGCACGACTTAGTTGACTTTTGTGCATACAAAAGGACACTAACCGCCAGCGTCAGCGCCAGTGCCAGGAGCAGCACAAGCAGCAGCAGTACAAAATAAGGATATAATTTTAATTTGGCTTTATTTTCATGACGCCCACGACGAGGAGGCCAGGGGAGCAAGATGCCAGAGCTAGAGCCAGAAACCAGAGCCAGAACCAGTTCGAAGGATTCTTCTGAAACAAAGCCAAAGCTGTAGGCAAAGTGGTTTGCGAGGGGCCTGTGCCTGCGTCTGCGTCTGGGTCTGGGCTTGGGAGCCGAGTGGTTCGCTTTTTGTTCATTTAGCTTGAAACAGTTTTTGAAACATTTTTCAGCAACGCCGCCGACGACGACGACAGCAACGAAGAAGGAGAACCCTGGGCCACACATTTCTTTTCGCTTTTGTAACCACGATAAATGTGCTTTATGTAGCGAGAGCCAGAGATGGGAATGGGACTGAGACCGGGGATATGGGCACAGGCACGGGCATGGGCATGGGCATAGGACTGTAGTGCAGGGGGCCGTCGGATGCAGTCTTACTAGGTGCCAGGGCCTAGCAAATAAAGGGGAGTGAGCTCCCCTGTGTGTTTGTGTGTGTGTGTGTGTGCTTGGTTGGCTGATGAAATGTTTCCTGCACTTTTGCTATTTTTTTTTCTTTTTGCTTCTTTCGCCCTTTTTCATTAAAAGGCACACAAAATAAAGCAAGAAGAAATAGAGTAGCGAGTGAAGTGGGATAAGGAGCTGTCCAAAGGGACAGCAAAATGCAGGAAGAACAGTGGCCAAAATTGTTGGATTTTCTGCTCTTATTTTTTGGATACAATATGGGAATTCCATTAGAAACATGTAATCCAAGCGATTTTATAGTATTTTATATTCTGTGGAATTGTCTCATTTTTTCCCCAATTCCAACCCTCCGATGTCCAGACATATTTTAATTTAAAGATATATTTACTTGAATTCATACACATATGTAAATTCCGAAAGGGTCCAACATACCATTCCTTTTGTGGACAAAGATCGTCCAACAAAAGGAGGTTACGGTTATACTTCCCTAAATGGATTACTTTAATACTTCTTGTCGAAGATCCATCACTTTTTTCTTGTCATTCGGAGCTATTTTTGTGGCGCTCCTGCCCAGTGTGCCCAGAGTACCAACGGAGTGGAGTGGAGTGAAAGATGAAAGGAGAGCCCCATATTATAAATAAATAGCAGCTGCAGGGCAGAGGGCGACGAGTGCTAGCTCGTCTGTGGAGGACGATAGGCGTGTGAATAGAGCTGGCTCTGGAATGGGGACACACACAAAGCAGCACGTGCTGCATGTGTATTGAAAAGTTTGAATAGAATTTTTAAGTTTGCCATTTACCAACACTGGAGCACACACACACACACATACACACAAACAAACAAGTCGTCGCGCCGTCCGACAACAAGAGAGAGAGAGAGAGAGGGAGCAAAAGAAAGCCTTTAGTAGCGTGTAATTTGCACTTTGTAAATTTGCATAAAAGCTGCACACAGCAGAGCAAGGAAGCAGGTATGCAGGGAAGGGGGGGCCTGGCATAAGTCCAAGATAGAGACGATATGTAAATGCCATACCATGTGTCGTCGCTTAAGGGGGGATGTGGGGATGGATAGGTGCAGGGTTTGCCACCAAGTGCCTGCATAAAATGCCATTCATTGGCTCCAACATTTCCATTTAGTTTGGGTTTTACCATCATTTCTCTTTTCTTTTCTTTTCGTTCGTTTGCTGCGGCTCTCCTTTCGTCTCATTCCGATACTCTTTCGCCTTATCATACTTCCGTTTCATTCCATTCAGTTTCCCTTCGTTTCCGGTTGCATCTGCATCTGGATGGGAGATTAGCTTCGGCGCCACCTGGTGGCTAATGCATTGAGCATACATACACATATCTATCTTCCACCTGCCACACATTTTGGCTGTTCCAAATTGATACACACAAAACTAATTCCATTTCTGCACCGCTGCCTTCCCTGGAAAAACAGGCAGGGGTCGAGAGCGAAACACACAGATACAGAGAAAAGGGTCAGGAGAGACACAGAGAGTGAGAGATTCTCCGACAGTCTCGTCCTTAAGAAGATTAGAGATTAATTAAACGTATCGTTTTTATTCGATTTTCTGACAGCAATAAATACGAGTACGAATACGAATACGAGTTTAAGCTTCAAAGAATTGCTCTGGAAGCATCAGAATGATAAAGGAATATAAATATGTACCGGGTATCTGAACAGGAGACGCACTTTCCTCTCTCTAATCAGACATCCGACCAATACATATGTACATATATATGTATGTAGAAGATAAGTACTTATGTACATAATTTTACTTATGTACCTGTAGTGGCAGATGGCAGCACTAAGGGATTGTAAACCCTAATTTCAATCAGAGAATCGTTTCAGTCGTATTTTAAAACCTATCATAAGGCATCCCCCAAGGAGACACACACCGGACTGCTTCGTTTACCATTTATCGCCTTTCTTTATAATACCTGAATGTAGTAAATCTCTTCTAAGAAACAGGCAAGACCGTCATGTCGGGTGCGGACGGATCACCCCTGTCAGTGGGGGAGTGGTTGTGTCGTTTCATTTCCGTTCATAATAATTCCACCACCTGAAGGGGTGTGGGGATGTTGGTGGTAGTGATGGTGCCTGCCTCCATTTTATACCGCAATCAAAACAGTTTTCATCAACTTTTGCCGCAAAGGCCGCATGCAATGTTGCAATGGCAATGGCAACTGCCGGCGCCGCCCACTCATTTCTCATGCCAGTAGGACAGTCAACACAATGGCACACAGCTTATATATTTTATAGTTATATGAAGCCATTACAGAGCTGCACCGCCACAACACCCTATAGCCCCAACCCTCGCTTCCCTTCCCTTCGCTACCACATAAAAGAGCGAAAAAGAGAGAGCGAGAACGAAACCCAGTTTTGTAGTTTTGCAGTTTGCACTTCACTTAAATGCGGCGCTCGACCCTCAAAAGAATAACGAAAATGCAAGCCCTGGCCGAAGGGGGAAGTGGAAGGCAATGGGGGATCCCCCCAAAAATCCCCAACCCCATTTCAAACTTATGACTGCCGGAGGGGCTGGCGGAAGGGTGGTAGACGCTGCCGCTGCTGCTGGTTCCGATCTCGCCCTCTCTCTCTCTCTCTCTCTCTCATGAGTTTGTAAAAGCTTCGCCGCAGGCCATTAAAAATTTTGTGCTGATGTCGAATTAGCGCAGAGTGGGGACCCCAATGAAACGGGCTTTCTATATCCTTTCCGCTCTCTATTGTCCCTCGCCACCTTTCCCACATCCCATATCCTCACCCTCTTTATGGATGTGTGCATGTGTATATTTTCTCTGTCTCTACAAACACATAAATATATCTAATCTCACATAAAAGTAATTACTTTCAGCTGGCGTTGTTGCTATCGAAAAATATTAAATTATATTGAGTGCACACACATAGACACACACAAATACACACATGTATATTACATATGTACATATGTGTATGTATGTATGCAGCACATGGAAAATGGCCGCGAATCCTGGGATTGTAGAAGCCGTCGACCGCAGACTATAACTATATATGGCAAACTACAACTCCTATCCCTTCCTCCTCTTTCTACCTCTTTCTTCGCTTAAATGGCCCTCTCTTTTTCTATATACCCTACATATATCCTCAAAACGTTTTTCTGCTTCCTCGTGACCCCATCCTAGACCATCCATGTCCCGGTCTGTCGACATATTTGCTTCATTCTTTCTCTTTTTTACTGTAGCTGTTTTGGTTTTTTGTGCGACTGCACAAAATTCAGCGAATTTTTCTATGGTTTTTCATAGTTTGTACCCACCATTGGATGACAAGCGCATTTGCGGTACAGGCAGTTGGGTGAGGGGGCTTAAGGATATATGGACTAGGGCATAAAGTTGGCAGCGATCAAGCGATGTACACACAGGGAGATTATGGCTATGGCTGTACTGCTCGTATTTGGAGTGGACCGTGGACCACAACTGTTCATTAAATAAAGCCACAGAACATAGAAATTTTCCTTACCGAAAAAAGACATTCAAATAAATTGAATTCGCTTGCCTTCAAATTATGTAAGTATTTTATGTCAGAGATCTGTAGATTTTAAGGTCCTTTCTCGGCAGCTCATTAAAGAGCTTAAGAAGTTCTGCCTTAAAGCGGAAAATGCGTTCTTATACGTACTTGTGCGATGTCCCTTGTCCCTTTAAGTTTTCTCCTGCCACTTGCACATAATTACACCTCATTTTCGTAACTTATATAGATATTCATTTTGGTTTATGTTCTCCTCTTACGTTGTGAATTCGTTGTCTTTTCTAGGGTATGCAGTCTTCCATACGATAGCACGGACAAGAGAAGAAGGATGACAATAACAGCCCCGACAACAAAGGGCAGGAAGAGGTATAGTCATGGCAATGGCATCGTTGATAACACAGCAATGGCGAAGGACAATGACTGTGAAAACAGTCGGAATAGCGCCATTTTAATTTATGTAGGATACATGCATACATATGTGCATTTGGATGTATTGGATGTATGGATGTGCCGCCAATGTATCCAGGATATATGCATGCATCTCTGGTCATAAGTCTTTGAAGCAAGCAAACAACAGATGGAAGAAGAGGCCCGAACGGTGCGAGAGATGTATATGTATCCCAGAATGAAAAACAGCAATCAAGGGAACACTAAGAAGGAAATATGGCTGGCTGGTAGAGAGGCCTTCTAGAAAGCAAGATCTTACGGAAACAACAAGTATCCCTTCTATATAAATATTAAAGACAATTCGGATGGAAAAAAAAAACCGGAATGCAGCTATCATCTTTTACTGTTGCTCTTGTCGCTTTTGATGCAAAGCACATCCTTAGCTAAGCCCATTTCCGTTTCCGTTTCTCCGCAAAAGATCAAGGATCAAACGATTACGAACCGCAAAAAAAAGTAGATTAAAGCAGCGAAAAGGAAAACCCCGACTTAAGAACCCAGAGACAACTCTTCCCTGTTCTGCACTCTCCACATCATCCACTTGATGTCTTCTAGCAAGTTGACACTAATCAGTTTAGCTTTAGCCCCAACGCCGACCACTTGATTTGCATACACAAATGTGTCCGACTTGGGGCGAACACACACACACGCACACACACAGAAGAGTGACTAAAGAGGAAGAGAGTGTTTGTAAGAGAGAGAATAAGTTGAAAGAGTAGCAGGGAAACCACTTAAACGGGTAACCGGCCACCTCACACCTCACCGGTCCGTCAGCACGTCAGTGGAGTCAACGGGGCCAGATCCTTGAACGTATTTCTCCAGAACGAAACAAGAAAAGGCAACCGCACCACAGTAGCACTGGTCCTCTGCCCTTCGTGTTGTTGGACAAAACAAAATGGAAGGCAAAACAGGAAGTAATCTATAGTCGCTCCGCCATTGTTTATTGTTTAATTTTTAGACATCGTTGCTCCATCGTCCGCCAGCCAACTTTCGACTTCATCCAAGTCTCCGTTCTGGTTATGGCTGCTTCCTGTTACTCCTCCTGCTACTGCTACTGCCATTGCCTTTAGCACTCGCGCCTCGCTTTCTTTTGGGCCACCCTGCCGCCATGGCCCTCCTCTTCTTATTTTATTTCTATTGTTAACAATTTTTGCATTTGCCGCTGCAAGTAGCGAGAACTTTTCACAATGGACCTGGGGGGAAAGGGCGTCTGATGGCGCTGGCCCATTGTTCTTGCTCCTCTGCCACATGCCACATGCCCCAGTCCCTGTTCCAGTTCCAGTCCCTGCCCCATCCCGCGCCCGATTCAACGATGCCACTTGAGCACTACAAAGGCACAACACACAAAAAATAATACGAAGAAACCCAAGAAAGTAAAAAGAGGTAAAAAGAAAATAGCCAGCAGAAGCAGCGACAAGAACGAGGCAGACAAAGCAAATCCAAATGCCAAAGACGAAGACGAAGAGGAAGACGTTGTCAACGGCGCGCCGTCTTGGCCCAGTCCACCCCTTCTCTATTCAGCACTGAAGCACTGATGCACCCATCACCCTGGGCTTTGCTTCGCCTCATGACATGCCCGTATCACATTTACTTGGATTTGGCTCTATTCGAAAGGCGACGACGACAGCAGCAGCGGGTACAAGAATCAGTCACCAACAAAGTCACCCAGTTTCCATGGCATCATCATCTGTTCTCCCACATGATGGTATCCATCGCCAGGTTGCCATCCTTTTTGATTATTTTTTTTGCACATAATTCCGTTGAAGAGGAGAGGGTATGAGTGTTACGAAAAGGCGTTTGTTAACCATAAATTATCCACAGCATATTATTCTGGCAATCTCTATGTATTCAACGTACGTATGTGCATACATATGTATGTGATAATATTTTTAACAGACCCATCTGCCAAAATTAGAGCTACCTTAAAATCGATCAGAAATTATACAAATTTTTGGGGTGAAGATTCTTGCTTAACGTCATAAATGGTCAATCAACAAGATTTGATGCGTGATTAAAGTCAAACAACTGAATATATAGTAAATAAGATATAGAAACAGCCATGAGGGCGTGAGACGAGGGAAAAGAGTATTTAGAGCATCGGTCTTTGAATGAAGCGCTCCCTCTTAGTTGGCATTGTAGTCTCCTTCGCCATTGCCTTGTAATTGCGCTGCGCTGGTGGTGTCGGTGGCGGGGGTGTACACGCGGCTACGGAACAGCAAGAACAGCAGCACGGGAGCAAGTAGCGATAATGGTCCTGAATCCCATACCCTTTTGAACCCCCTTTAGACACCCTACTCGCAGCATACTTTCTGTGTGCAGCATGCTGCATGCAACACCACAATAGGAAAAAGGGAAGATGGCATTTCAATGACTGCAAGGATAGCAGGGACAACAAACTGCTGAAAGGAGGAGACATTTACCGTGCGCTGCAATAAAAAGTTAAATAGAGCATTGTAACTGTGTCTAAATCTATACTTAAGCTATGCCTCAAACTCTATCATTATGGCTGGCTTTAACTTTATCTCCAGAGCCGATGAAAGGTAAGTAGTATGTATAGCAGAAAGAGGGCATAACCCACTAAGCTGATTGCAGTTGGGTGGCGGTGGCGGTGGCGGTGGCTGTTGCGGTTTACGTCGCTTTTCCTATCCCGGAGGATTATTCCCAGAGGTGATTCCAATTTAAAGGAAGAGCAATACCCACAGATGGCGGTTGTCTTTTAGTCGATTGCTCCACTGAAGCGTTACTTAATTAGTCGGACTTATTAGTTTATTAGTTGGAAGCCCAGGGCCCTGCCCTGTCGCGATGTGATCGATTATCCATTGAGCCTGTTTATTTATTCAATTTAGTATTAGTTGAACATAATTGAAACAGTTTTTTCAATATAAATATTTGTATACCCTCTCCTGGTTGCGGCTTCTGAACTCTTCCTTATAACACTACGCGTAAATTTGTATGTATATTATGGGAAACGCTGCGAATTAACTGATTAGAGCTGTCACTTATGAGCGCAGTTTAGTAAAAGGGTTTCTAAACATTAATCCACAAAAATCTATTAATTAAGATCGGCGGCATATGTAGGCTATTCCACAAGGCTAGGGCACTCGAAGCTTCGGCCTGCCGAAGTAAGGCTTTCTTTACTATTTTCTCATAACTAAATTTACGCTTTTCGCATTTGCCCAATAGCCGTGAAAAATATCACATTTTTGCATAGACAGTTCAAAGATATTTTGTAGAAAAAATTAAATAATTATAATACAGAAACCGAAAAAATTAACAAAAAACTTGATGAAATAAATTGCATTCTGAATTGTTTTTTCAAGAATTTTTTTCTTCTTTTCCTTTTTTTTTAATGTGGTTTTGTGTGCTTTTATTTAGCTATATTTTTTTTTTTTTTTTTTTTTTTAGAGCTTTAATGGAGATTTCTCTGTGTTGGCAGTGGGATGGATGGATGGGTTTATGCGATTGTGTGGGCGAGTTTTGTTGTATTTGGAAAACATATAAACAAATGGCTTAGACGCAGACAATTAGGACATTTAGGGATACGTTTAGGGGTTTGTTGGGATGTTTTTTATTTGTTTCATATATTTTCTTTCGTTCATTTTTTGATATTTTCTTTTATATTTGTTATATTTGTTGGTTTCTGTTTCGAGTGGACAACATACAAGGATACATAGATGTTTTCTTTCTTTATTTTTACTTGCATTTTTCGCACAAATATGGATTTTGATTGTTTATCTTTTGGTTTTTGGTTCTGCTGCTTTTCCTTCTGTCAGAGGTTGATCTGCTGAGGAGTTTTTCATGTTGGGTTTTGGAGGGGAATACCTAGCTGGTAGATCGAGCAAGTGAGAACTTACTCTCTAGTATCTTGGTCTGTTTGCTGGTTTCTGTTTTTGTTTACATATTTAATTTATTTATTTTTTGGTTAACACAAAATAAACTGATAACAAATAATCGTTAATCGATAAAGAAAACCAAATAAGTGATTCACATTTAATGAGATTTGTTTACCTTAAAAAGCTTTGATCAAAATTGAAAGAAAATGGAACCAAAGAGGACAAGGAAACATAAACATTGAGAGAAAGTGGAAAAATTATGGTCTAAACTTTGGACAACTGAAAAACGATCTGGTGTAAGTGGAGAGACTGTGACTAAGATAGAGAAAGTGATGGAGAGAGAGAGAAATATTGTTGGAGTGGAGTGTCTGAAGAACGTCGAAGAAATCAAATGAAAAGTGGTCCAAAGTTCATTTCGAAATGCTCACATGCCAAATCAATGAGAATATAGTAGAGGAAAAACGATGGGAAAATGAATGAACTGAATCGGTTCTCTGGATGATTTTTGGGGGGCGGGTGGGTGGGGTTGGAGTTGTGGTCTGGGTTAGTATGAGTGTTAATACTGGTTGATTGGTTGATTGGCGAACGGAAAACACAAATCGGAAATCAAACTAAATACACATATAGACACGGTACACATAACACATACAATTATATATATATGGTATATATATATATATATTTTGGGATATATACATATATATCGGTATTCGGTTATTTTCAATTCTCATTTTGCCCTAAAAAACACGGTGGAAATTAACAAATAAATATGCAAAAAGATTATATGTATGTATATCCATGATATGTAAGTGTTCGCGTGTGGTTGCATATGTGTGTGTGTGCGTGTGTCTGTGTATCTGTGAGGTACAAAATTATGAATGCATTTTCCATTATTATTTTTTGTTCTTTTTTCTTTTTATTACTCTTTTTGTTGTTGTTTTTGTTGTTGATTTTGTTGTTGTTGCAGTGGTAGTTGTTGTCGTGTTATATTTACATGAATGATTTGTTGACTTTTCGATCTCTTTTTTTATGCTGCGTTTTTTGTTTTCGTATGTTAAAATGTAATTTAAAATCAACAAAATGGCATTATACGACAAGCAAGGGCGGTGCAACGAGCTGAAAGCAGGAAATGGAAATGGAGATGGGAGCGAGTTGTTCTGCCTATCTGGCGCATTTGAAAAGTAATTACAACCGAAAGGCAGCCGAACACTTGCAACAGTTGCAGAGTACGTACCATTTACCATTGGCCCTGGCAATCACAGTATTTATACTTGTCGTTGTACATATGTATGTATGTACATGCATACATATATTTCATTGTAATAGATTTCGGTGAAAAGTAAGCATGTATCAAAGTTGCAAGCAAGGTAAAGTCATTTCGCGTCTGGATTTTGTTGGATTATAGTTCCCATTATTAAGAATTTCCGTTTTGGAAATAAAAAACAAAGAAGAAGGCGGCTCAGGTGGCTTTTGTGATTCTTTCTATGACGACTTGATACATCATTACGATTTGGAGTATTTTAAGAACTTGGAGCTTGGGAAAAGCCCTTATTCAAAAGCTTTTTAGCTGTAGTTGAAAGGAAAAGATCTGGAAGTCGGCGGATGGGGATCGATAATGTGATATATGTACATCTAATTTTGTTGGATGAAATAAAAACATCTCTTGTGCCGTTTGGATGCATTTTACGTTATGACAACTGAAATCGAACAAACAAACCGTGTTCAAGATGCATTCTGTGGATGAATGGATGGTTGGTTGGATGGTTCAATGTTTGGATGAGGGTAACATAAAATCCAGAATCAACTGAGGAAGATGCGACTATAACAAAGAATTTATTTTTTGGTTTTTCTTTTCTGTTTGGGAAACCAAAATGGTTACACCTGTGTTTCTTTTTCAAGTGTTTTTGTTTTGTTTTTTATTTGTATTATTTTTTTTTCGACTTACCAAGGTGTGAACGAGCTCCAGAAGAGACTACAAATTCACGGTTAGAAAACGTAGGATTTTTTTTGTGATTTTTTTGTTTTGATTTGGATATTGATTTGCATGTGGGAAATGCATTTCGGTTGGTGTTGAAATTCGATTTGGATTTGATTTTTTTTGTTTTGTTTTTGGTTTAGCACACAACATGAAGGTATCGAGCCACAGCAACAGAGTAGGACAGTACACAAGTAATTGACAGGACAATAAAAAAGAAATTAAAAGACAAAAATGCGTTTCGTTAACGAATTATTCAAACTTTGATATTGCTTAAGAATTTGTAATAATTTTCTGGTATTTTTTTTATACTTTTAGCATACCTAGAGTTGAGATTTTACTTTCATAGCTTAGTGAACGAAAGACTAAAGAACCGAAACGAACGAAACGGAAATGGAACGAAAGTGGAAACGAACAATAAACGTCACAATAAGAAATTAACTCAAAAAACACATTTGACAAACACACTTAGTCTGATGGTGAGACGAAGACAGAGACGGAGACGGAGATCGGCAGACATCTTTGGGGTTTTGGTATCATCTTGGTTGGTTTAGTATGGTTAGTTGGTTAATGCACGAAACGAAATGAAGTGAAAGGAAAATGAAATAAACTGAAACGGAAACGGAAACGAAAACCACACGTTGACCAGGAAGTTGTTTTCAACAGTAAAACGTAAAACAAATGTATATCATAATCGATTCGCTCATCTTTCCTCCTCTCTTTGGGAATCCGATTTTCGGTCTGGGCATCAGCGAAGTTATTATTGGAGGATGTAATCGTAACAAAAATCGAAATCGGAATCGAAATCAAAGCAAAAACAAAAGAGTTCACGCTAAATATTCAAGTACTATATAGATATAGATAGATATTTATATACACTAGCTGGAGTATATAATTCGGTGGTAATCTGAAGGTTAAGGAAACCAAAAGAAAGCAAATTAAATATAAAGTAAACTATCAAAATGGTAGCTAGGTCTTTGACCACAGCTAGAGTTAGAGCTAGGACAATGATCGGCGATCATACATACATATACTTATCGTAGGGCATGGGATTTTCTTTGGTCTTATATTTCCATCTTTTATAGAATTTCATTTCATTTTGTTCAGGTTTTATTTTTTTGTGTTTTGGTTTTTTTTTTTGGGTAAGACGAACACAAGGAGGTAGAACACTAGACAACACACATACTCAATGGAGTGCTATCATTATGTATTCGCTTTTGATTTTGGTTTGGCTTTTCTCGTATTGTTCTGAGTTTTATTTTGAGAGAATGAGAGAAATGTGGCGGCTTAAAGAAATGGAAACGAAGAATCTAATCGAAATGAGACATTCACTGATATTTCACATCCGTAACTCAAGAAAATAAACTAAATGGTAAATAATAATAATAATTTTGTGAATATATTTCCTTTTTTCGGGCTTCTTTTTGGTCTCGGGCACTCAGGATCTTTTTCATCATTCTGGTCATCTTCGATCTGATCTTGATTCCCAGGCAGACAAGAAAAGAAAAAGCTCAAACTACGAAAATGCTCTACATTTTCTTGTGAAGTCAACGAAAAGAGAAAACAGAAAAATCGAAACGGAATTCAGGAATGTCACCGAAAGAAATACAGGCACAGAATGGAATGGAACGGAACTCAGAGGAACAAGAGAAAAGAAAATGCCAAAAATTCAACAATTTGTCTTGATTTCTTTCTTCATATCAACATATTTTTTAGCGCATAAATGATAGACTCATTGAGGGGGAGAGGCGTACGGGATTGTGGGAATGTGAATGGGTTAAGATTTTTAATTGACTTTTGCTTTTTTCTTTATTTTTTTATATATATTTTTTTTTGCTTGGAATTTGATTGATTAATTGATTGATAGACTACTTGAGGTGTATTTAGTTGAAAAATTGGTAAAAATAAATTAACTTTTACATATTCTTTTGGTTTCTGATTTGGAAACTTTTGTGGTGGAAAGCATAAAGTAAAAAGATTTAATATGTTTACATGTGTGTATATATAAATCGATATGGTGTTCAATACGGATGTATATAGGCACACATATACGAACATACATGTATGGAAATAATTTGAGCTTTTTCTCTTCATTGCACCCATAAAGCTTAAAGAATACACACAGAACTGAAACGCAAATAGTTCAAACGAAATTCCAATGTAAAGTTTCTCATTTGCTGCGGGCCGGGCAGATCCTCCTAGCAACCTCATTTGAGGCCGAAAATGAATAATGCCGCGGTCTGCAACTGATCCAACAACTGAACTTATAGCCAACGAAAAATCGAAACGGTAATGGTAACGGTAACTGAAACACAAGATTCGAACTCAGGAAGTAAAATCAAGAGTCGCTCAATGGAAAGCAAGGACCTCCTTGAGCTACTCGGCATCCGATAGATGCGATTATATATCTTTCCCTGTGGGCCTAGACTGCGCACTAAGAATCAGACCCATATCTACATATTTGTATACATATGGAGATATGTATATGGATAAATGGGGTATCTCTATATGGTATAGCCTGGTATGCTTATCGCTATGGTTGGCCACTTACTTTTCGCTGTATTCATCCATGTGGGCGTACGACTGGACAGAGTTCTCCTCGATCAGGAACTTGACGCGCTGGTAGAACGAGGCCGTCACCGAGGGCGGCTGCTTCCGCAGCAGCACCTCAACGGGATCGTTCGAGGACAGGCACATGATGTGCTCCGAGCAGGCCGGATGCGAGCAGCACTCGCTATCAGAGCAGTCAGTCATCCCATCTGGGAACGGAGAAAAGGACTGTTGTATCAGCAAGGGATAATTAAATATTTAAATTTTCCATGTACTTACCGCCATCGTTGTCAATGTTGTCCTTGCAGTTGAGTTCCAAGGCTATCGAACAGTCACTGCCAGCCCAGCCTTCAATGCAGTCGCATCGGTACTCGCCGTTCTCCAGGCTGCACTGTCCATGCCGAGAGCAGCCGTTCTCGCAACCAGCTAAAGATTTGATACAATTCGATTATTCGATTAGTTGGAGCTCTTGTAAGTGATGGTTTGATTAATTTAAATTTAAAAATCATTTCATTCGGCACCGCCTATCGGTTGCATTAGTATCCCACTGTGAAATCCAGACAGGTCTCGAATAAACGAACAGAACGAAAAGGTGGGACACATACATATGTATGTACAGTTGCGGCAGAAATAATAGCACTGTTTGGTACCACAGTCTTTATTGTTTCAAGCCTGCAACCAACATATTTTGCCCTTGACTATAATATCAATTAGGTTTACATGTCTCCTCTCTGATAGAAGTGTGCTTACTCTCAAATTCCTAACGGTTCTTATTACTAAAGGAAATTTTCCAAAAAAGAAGCGAAATAGGCGGCAACAAAAATAGCACTAAAATTGGTTTTTTATAAAAACTTTTACTTTTCCGGATTTTCGTAGTTTATGATTTTAATTAAATTACAATTCGGTGTCTAAGCAGATTGTGGCAAGAACTTAACAAAATAAAAGTAGTTTTGGGCCTTAGAAAGCACTTTAGGTTAGAAAAAAGCAACAGGATCAAAACTTTTATTCCAGAAGGAGACAATCCAGACAGGTCTCGAATAAACGAACAGAACGAAAAGGTGGGACACATACATATGTATGTATGTACATATATTCAACAACAGTGGCCGGATTATCTATACCTTAATCCATGTTATGTTCCAGTGTGGAAATTGTGTTTCGGTTTAATACAAGTACAGAGTACTTGGGGTGGGGCTTCAAATTGAATGATAACACTCCACCAATCCATCTACCATCCCACCTCCACGTTCCACCCCATTGTCAACATCATGAATATAAAAATAATTTTTAATGTTTGCCCACTCTCTCTGTCAAGCAAAGGATAGAAAGAAAAGCAAAGTAAACCTTTGCCGGCATCATCATCAGCGAACACTCAACGAAATGTTCGACAAACATAAAAACCCAACGAAACGTAACCTAACGATAGATGATTTTCCCTTTGCTGCTTCCCTCTTTTCTTTCCCACTTCTCTCGTCGTTTGGGCTTTATTTGTTTGTCCCACGATAGCATTTGACGCAAAGTTAATGTCACTTGACATGTGTCATTTGCAAAATGAGGGACGGTATCGGTAGAGCCCTGCTAACCCAGCTTCCGTTATGTTAAAAAGTTTGCGGCGCATAAAGTGACTTTCTTGGCTGTTACTGCCTTAATGTTTACGAGTCTCTGAGCCTGGTTCCTGCCTCCTTGCGTCCTGAGTGCGTGTTTGTGCACACATATTGGCAATAACATCAAGTGTTGTTGCAAATATTGAGCCCCGTCCAGCTCCACTCTCTGACAGTTTGCGCCCGACATCAGAGAAATCTGTCAAATGCTGACTGGCTTGGAGACGGATCGAACACGAACACGAGCATCAGGGAAACCCTATTCCCCAAGAGCAATTTCTTTGAGGCAAATATCCAGAAACTAAGACGGATAGGCGAAAGCTATCTGATAAAGATGAGTGATTGCAAAGAGTGATACTCCCTCCATGGAGAGAAGTTCATTCTCTATCTTAAATTCTAAGTAAACAGATTATCTAATGGATAATTAAGCATTGAACTTTAGGTGAAGAAGGATAGGGGTTCTACTCGTAGAAACGGTAATGGTAAAGGGTCTAAGGGTCTTTGCTGCACTGAAAAAAAAAACATTCCCAGAACAGAATACCAAAATGTATCCTCAGTGGAAGTAGGCATTCAAATTCATAACTCTTATACGATTTTCCCAAAGTATACGCCATTAAATGCCTGCCACTTTAGGTGTGGGTGTCCTGCCGTGGGGATTCCCACTGAAAGAACTCCCTATTACATCAGAGGCCCGTAATTTGTTAGAAATCTCTGTTTCAAGTTCAATCAGCGCATTGAACTTGTTGACTGACTGCAGTTCGATACAGTTTCAGCTGAAAGGTCTAATCAAGGCTCACTGCATGTGTAACAATGGGAGGCACAAAGGCGTGTACACGCACACTTATGCCCCCCAACACGTATATCTCGGGAGGAAAGTCGTTAAGTACTTTCAAAAAATACATTCAGCAGCGCAGACATGGATCCGAATAGGAGAGGGAGATCCTTATGCATGTACTCGTATTAGTGTATTTGGGTGGCAGTTTGAGCCCGTGCAAGCGTGACTCGCACGTCCCAGCCCCTCATCATGCCCCATCGGAAAGTCCTGAGCCCCTCCTCCCATGTGGTCTGCAACACTTAAACCGATTGAAAGCCCTTTTCTGTAACAGAGGGGGGGGCACCAGGGAGGAAAGGCGAGGTCTAGTCGAGAGCCAAGATTGGGTCTGACTGGAATGACGTCGGAAGTTTTATTGGTTTTGCACACGTCAACAAAATGTTCATCGCCAGAAAGAGACAGACAGACACACAGAGAAAGAGACAGAGACAGAGAGATGTAATGGCATTACATGCATGCCTGAGCCAGCGGGTGAGGGAGAGCGCCACACGTTCCGAGTTGTTGCGGCTGTGGATGTTTTTGCAACATGACTGTTTGTTTTAAAAGTTTTAATCACTGTCAATCGATAGCTACTTATCATCATGGTGCATTGCTGCCAAGTGCCTCTGCCTCTGGCCTTGTCCATGCTGCTTCGTCTACTTTGTGCTGCCTGTTACATTGCCTCCTGTTCCTTGGCCCCAAACAACATGGTTAAGTCATGGCGGCAAAACTGTCAAACGCACTTCCATTGGAGAGCCACGATAGGAGTAGAAGTCAGGGAACGAGCCAGCGAGCCAGCGATGGTGTCACGGCAGTTCGGCGGGGGGTTCGGCGACAGCAAATGGCGTAAACATGTACAAAAACTTTGGGTGCATCGACTCCTCAGATAGAAAACCCCAACACCAGAGCCAGAACCAGAACCAGAACCAGAACAGCGTAAGCTACAAAAAGCAAACCCGAAAAAAAGAAGGAAGGAATTGATAAAAAGTACGACAGCAGCAACATTGACAGGGGATAAACGATAGGTACAGCGGCTGTGGGGGATAAGGAACTAGGACAGGGACGGGGACAGGCACAGGCACAGGGACTGTGGATAAGCGAGAGCCAAAGGGCTGTGGCTATGGCAATGGCAGTGGGAAGTGGCACTTGCAACAGCCACAGCAAAGTTGTTACTGCTTCTGCTGATGTTTTTTTGCTGGCTTTGGACAGTCGCGCTGCGACAGGAGGCGACAATGTTGCAGCAACAGCAGCGACTGAGTTTGCTGCCAACGGCGCTTGGCAGGGAGTGTATGTGCCAGCCATCAATTGACCGGCAGCGGATAGCGAAAGAAATTTCCCCACCGGCAGGCTCACTGAGGATTTCGGTGAGTTTAAGTCGAGCCCGGGAGCCCCGCCAAAGAAATATAACAGCCCAAAGATACATTTTCGATCATTTGTGTACTTACGCAGGGTGCAGTGCCTGCCATTCCATCCCTGGGAACAGACGCACGTTCCGTTCTTGCATTGGCCGTGCTCAGAGCATCGAGCGTCGCAGGGCAGCTGATCGCAAAGGTTGCCCGTCCATCCACTGTTGCAGCGGCACTTACCGGACTCGCACACTCCGTTCCTCCCGCAGTCGAGACTGCAAACAGCTGTGAAAAAGACAAAAATGGGCTATTAGGGTATACATAATAATGAAATAGAACAGATCCATGTAAGATCTCAGAAAAGTGGACGGCAGAGGGAGAGTCGCGAAGTCTGTGTATTGTTCTTCGTTGTGGTTCATCCACACATCCGTCCATATGCACGTTTAAATTCATTAAAGTTCTGTACGACAGCCAGCAGGTCCAACCATAGCCACGCCGTAATGCAGCAGGAAGAACAGGACTGGAGCTGGAGTGGCAGGAGGTGCGTACAACGGTTGAACCATAAAAACCACATTATAAATGTTACATGTACGTGGTGGCACACTTTGCTAACAATCCCCGCAACTCCACCACCCATATACAGCCATACGAATACGAGTGTACCGAGTATACCCACAACGGAGATGCGAAGTGCTCATGGCGTATGCATGAATCCAGAGTGGATTGTTTTACTGGTTCGTTCATAACTTTTTCCACTAACTGGGTTAAGGGCTGCTATTACGTTTGCTGGTTCAGGAGTAGTTTCATGCGTTACGAGTTCATGGTCTAAGTCAGGATTTTTTTAAGCATTTTTTTTAGTTCTTAAATTGATTCATTTATGGATTTTAAGTGCAGTTTATGGTTCCATTTTTACCATTCACATATTTTGCAGTGCGTTGGTGTGCGTTAAGCGGAACAGACGACGACGTAAAAATGTAGTTCTATGATTTATACAATAGAAACAATAGAACAAATACAATATTCTTGGACACCTTGATGTCGGGCCACACGTGCCTCGACAAAAAAACATTCATCCATTTCTTATTATAAGTCGAACTTTTATTTAAAATCAATCAGTCTCATTCCTGTGGCAGGCTCTATCAAAATCGTATGCATTTGTTCACCGATTGGTTTAGGAATTGACTCCAGCTTTCTCTCCGCTCCCTGGTTCAGTGGCTGGATTTATGTTCATAATTTAAGTTCATAATCTTGTTCGGAGCTATGTGTATGTGCTTTTCGGGAGTGAAGCCGAATGGAGTGAAGCGGGTATGCGTTTCATGACTTTTGTTCTCTTCTTAACAGTCGCAGGCGTAAATTTATTTTATTTTCCTCTCCCTCGCAGCTCCAGATGGTGGTTGGAGCTCAGGAGAAACAGCTAAGGACGTGAACGTGAAGCTGGAGCCAGGGAAAACCTGGGTATTAAATAAATAATGAATTTTTATGAAGCTCTGCTTCATTACGCCTGGAGAGAGTCGTCACAGCACTGCCCCCCTAAATGGCATGCTGGTGCTAAAAAATGTAAGCAAATTAGGAGTGCGTGCCAATGAGAAAGGCAGACGTGTCTTTGGCCATTTGTGGCTTCGTAAGCTGCATGTTTTATTGGGATTACCCTCCAATCCAGGTCCTCTATCCAGATCCTCCTCTATCGCGCTCTTTTTCTCTCTCTCTCTTTGAAATGACCATGGAACGGTGCGTCGTTTGCGCTCTGATTCTGGTTCCTGCCTAATTGGGAGCTTCGGTTTTATGGCTCACTTGCATCCAAATTTCGGGTTATGTTGTGTCCATAAAACATCATCACTTTTGCAGAGCCCGCATCGGTTGATCGTTCTTGTGTGAGTGGAGGCATAATAAAGATCTCGAAAGTAATTTCTGGCCTCCAGCGTTTTCCCTGTTCCACCTTCACCGTCTGATAATTGTATCAGAATCTGGATCTTGGTATGGCAAATTATTTTTCAGCAAGTATTTGCATCTCAAAGATAACGACATGCATTTCAGACTTTGCTCGACGACTTTCCACTTCTGTGTGCCATTTACCATTAAAGCAACGCACCCAAATCAATTCATTTCCTGTAGCCAAGCACACAACTAAACAGATATTTCAGGACTTGTGGCGGCGGTGTTGTATACGTATTGCGTATACGAGTGTAATTTGTAAGCATTTTTCATCGAATATGAAAAGAAGCATAGCCATGCTTGGTGCTATTAATTATGAGGGAGGGAGGACAAGAGGACACAGAGGACGCAGGGAACAAAGGGAAAAGGGCAGACAGAAATGCGAGGTGCTGCGTGAGGGAGTACCTACCTTGCGAACAGTCCGGTCCAGTCCAGTGGCGCTCACACACACACTGGCCCGTCTCCAGGTCGTAGGTTCCGTGCTCCGAGCAGCCGGGCAGGCACTGGTACACCTGCTGATCAATCGTGCCACAGTCCTCGCCCTGCCAACCGGCCTTACAGTAGCACTGTCCGGCGACACAGGTGCCGTGCCCCGAGCACAGCGGATCAAGGCAGTCGTCTGTGCATTCAGTACGGCGCGGGTCCAGAGGGCGTGTTCGGGAATAGTTCATTGGTTGTTTGGTTGTTTGAAGCGGGTGGAAAGAAAGAATACAAAATGTTTGTTAGTCGCACACGTAGGTACAGTGGAGCTCGATTAGATGAGCAATAGTTAGAGTGAAATTCGTTTGTTATTAGTTTGACTAAAGGGGAAATACACCGAGAAAAGCATAGCGAAGATTCTCTAACTGACAATTGATTAGGAGCAAGAAACATCACTCGGATATGGAGATGGATATGTATACACAGAGAGAGACAGACAGACACACAGACGGAATGATAAACGTACACACAAAAGTTAATACAATTGACCATATCTATGGAGTATAGATAAAAGGTTGCTCCCAAATATGGATCCAAAAACTTTTCAGTCTTGAACTACAATTAAAACAACATTTTAATTGCAATCCCGAGCTTAAAAAATGATCAACAGCATAGCATCTTGGCCTGTTATCCTTATTAAGTGTTGCATCGTATAATTTATGGAGTGTGCACCGTGACTCCTTCGCGAGGAATACGAATGAAGAATGGGTCGTGACAGCCTTGGCCAAACAAAAAGCTTGGCACCATCAAGGTCTCCACTTGACTTATGTTTCCACCAGCTTCAGCTCTTTTTCTTATTCTCTCTCTTTCGGTTTTCTCTTTTAGCCTGGTCAACACAGATACAGCTACAGATACACACATATGACATGATTAGTATGTTAGACACGTACAAAAGTGGTCATTAAAATGAAATTCCAGTTTAGTTCAAGTTGGTAATTTTGCGCAGTTGTTGCAATTTTTGTTGGCTTCTTCTTGTTGTGCCCCATGTTCCATACTCCATGCCTCATGCGGCAGGGCTGCCTAAAAGTTCGCTCCGGTTTTGCGCCCTCCGTGCATGTGTATGAGAAATATGCTCTCGACATAAAAATTCGATTTTATACGTTTTATGTTTGCTCAACGTTTTTCCTTTCCTTCCTCTTCTGTTTCCTCTCGTTCTTCATTTCTTTTATTCTTTCTGTTTCTGTTTCGGATTCTGTTTGTTGTTTGTCCCTGTTTGTTTTCGTATGCCACGGGGTCCGTTACTCAGGGTGGCTGGGTGGCATTGGCACAGGCAAAGGCAAAGGCCACATTAAACATATACAAAATGGTGGCCAGGCAATGAGGTACACAGAGGCATTTCGGAGCCATGTATTGTTGCATGTTGCATATTTTATTCGAATTTTGTTGTTGGTTGTTTTACAACCCACGAGGCAGAGCAACAGAGTGCCGGTGTCCATTGTTTTTATTGACACGTAAGTAACGATGGAGAATGGGCGAGGGAGCGTAGCTTTATGGGCATGTACTGTATAAGGACTACAGTCCACCTACTTGTATCCTGGCTGTCCACTTAAACTCTCAATCTTTCTGTCCGCTTTGATTTGATATTTATTAAAGACAGATAGCGCTTCTCGGTGGAGGCGCTTCAAAACTAAGTATTTCAATCTTGAGGCCTGCTATATTTTGAAGGGTACTTCCTGGTCGGGAGTTGGTTCTTCATTTGTCTTTTACTCGTATTTTTCATATTTGTGCGTCGCCTGCAAATAATTTACTTGATTTGTCTGTTTCTCTTGCGCATTACCCAACAGTTTGGTATTCTTCGTAGAAATGTTTAAATGTCAACCTGAATGCGTCGCTGTGACGCCTGGCTAAAAATATCAAAGCTATCTGAGGCATGTGGCTTGGGATTGGAGCGGAGAAATCTCCACCTCCACCTGCTATCCATTGAAATCCTGAAATTTTGGTTCCTTTTTTTGCCTCTCTCTCTCGCTTTGTCCATTTAAGGCAAACACAAAGCGAGGAGCAGGGTACTGAGAAGGAGCAGGAGCAGATGTCGGCATATTAACTGAAATATTTTGGCATCGTCGTTTCCCCATTCCTGACCGGTGGGGCCCTTATCGTCCAGTGTCAACATGGCCCAGGACGCAGGGCGCAGGCACAAAATTGGATACCGGAGAATGAAGGCCGGAGGGAGATGGAACTCAAACAAGGCAAATAAATAATGTTAGCATTTTTATGCCAAGTCAGCGGAACGGAGGAGAGGCCTTGACACTTACGTTGATCGCAATACGGTCCCTTCCAGCCGCGCTCGCAATGGCACTCGCCCTCAATGCACCGTCCGTGGCTGGAGCAGTTGGGGACCTCGCACTCGCCCACCGGAATGTCGCACTCGGCCCCCTTCCAGCCGTCCTCGCAGTGGCAGACTCCGCCGCCGTAGTGGCCATGCGCCGAGCACAACACCGGACAAACGCCTGCAAAAGAACGGAAAGAGATGGCATCAGTTACAGAGAAAGCGATAGGGAGGGAAAGGAAAGAGAAAGAAAATCTGCAGGTTCAGAGACTCACTTTTAGAACAGTCGACGCCTTGGTAGCCATCAATACAGTCACACTTTCCCAGGTAGCAACTTCCGCGACCGGAACAGTCGTTGGGGCAGGTGGTGCTGACGCCCTCGGCCTCCTCGGCCAACAGCGAGACGGAGTGGGCCACCAGCTCGTCGTTGTAGACGGAGATAAACCAGAGGCCTGTGTCGAGATACTGCAGCAGCGATACGTTCACCGTCATCGCGTCCATGTCGAGGGCGGGCAGGCCGCCGCCATCTACCGCCGAGCGCTTCTTGACTTCATGCTGTGCGTACTGTGGATTTTGCTGCTGGAAGTGGATCTGTCGCTGGAGGTGCTTTGCCGTATCCAGGGGCGTTTCGACATCGAAGAATTCGCCAGAGTCGGGGTCGGAGTCGGAGTCGGCGTCTGGTTCGTCTTTGCTTGCATCCACCATCCTGCTTGCATCCTGCTCTTCGTAGCTGAACTGTAGATTTGGTCGTGGCGTGAATCGTTCTTGGAGGTGCTGCTGCTGCTCGTCGAGGTACACTGCGTCCCAGTCCTTTCCGGCGATCGACGAGGCATTGCCCGGGCTACGACGGTGCCGCAGGTGGCTGTCCAGACGTCCTCCCTTGATGAACTCCACAAAGTCGTGCTGCGTGACCGACGGCGCCACGTTTCGGCGCGAGTATACGGCAAAGTGGGCGCCCCACGGCAGCGTGAAGTTGAAGCGAATGAAGGCTGGATGCTTGTTCCGGAACTCCAAAGTCCAAAACTGGTAGGCTGGTATATTCGCGTGGTACACCTCGTTAAACTCCTTCAGCTCGACGACCTGCGGCCACTGTCCTCCTCCAAGCTGTGGCTGCAGCGCCTGGTGGTGGTGCATCCCGCTGCCGCCCGCTTGGGCCAGCAGCATGTTGTGCTGCTGTCCGTTAAGGGAGCCCGGGCCCATAACCATGCCGTTGCCGATGCCGCCTCCGTAGGTCAGTTGATGGTCCTGCAGCTGGGTGTTGGTCGCGTCCATCGGCGTCAGCGGTTGGTTGATCGAGTGAGGCTGCTGTTGCTGGAGAAGCAACTGCTGCTGAATGCCCGTTGCCCCACCACCGCCGGCCCCACCCGCCACTCCATTGAGTCCATGTCCGTTACTGCCGTGGTCCGAGGTGCTGGTCTGTATCGATTCCTCCGTGGGATAGGCAGTGGCCCCACCCACGCTCTTGTCGTTCGCTTTCCCCCCCGGCCCGCCACGCAGATCGTGCGGCTGTGACTTGACGTCCTGGACTAGGATGCAATTAGTGCTGTCCAAGTTCGGCTTCATCGAGCTGACAGCTGTGTAAACGAAAAAGAGAACAGAACGGAATGAAAACTGGGTTCAAAAATGACTTTTTACGAGTATATATGTATATCTAGTATAGTATATTATCTACTATGTATACATACATATATAGTATTATGTACTATGTAAACCAGTGATCGGCACGCACTTTTGTAACAAAGACCATACAATAACAAGATGCTGCATGAGCGAACAAAAAACCGGTTCTATGGCTGGGCTTATCGCTACTTCCCATGTACAGAGAGAGCGCGCTGGCTTTCAATTATATTTTCGGCTAAGCTTCGTCTCTGACCGAAAGCCCGCTGCCCAACGGCTTCGTCTGTGCATGCATGTGCATGCATTTCGCACAGTGGGGCCTTTGCCTATTTCAGCGAATAAAGAACTCCATAAATTGTTTCACACTTTAACAATTTTCAACTTCGAATGCTTCTATCTGATATTCTCTGGAAAATTATATTTTAGAAGCGTATATTAACTTTATCCAAAGCGCTAATAAATTTTTTGACTTTTCGGCTGAGCCCCGCGCGCCGGTACCAGGAAGCGTCAAACGAAATTTTGTATGGGCATTTCTTCCTCATGCAGAATCTTCGTATTGTCTTGTCTTTGCACACAGCAAACTGTTTTGATCTGCCTGAAATTTATTTACCGAAAATCCAAAATTTAAGCAGTTATTTAATATTTAAACAAATAGTACGCAGCAGCAGCGAACTTTCCTATGAACATAAGATAGGGCCTATCAGATAGCTGACTTAAACATAAAATGGGTATCTGTATTATCAAAATCTATTGAATTTCACAAATTTCCTGAACACACATCATTTTATACTTTTACTGTTTTACCTAAAACAATGTTCTGAATTTTCTTAGTTATGTATCCAGAAATCTTTTGGAACTATTTCAATATGATATAACAATGTCTAAGAGCAGCCATCAATTTCATATTCTTTGAATAATTTTCCAAGTCGCTGTGGTGTATTTTTTTCAAGTGTAGCTATAACTTGTTCCTCGGCTTCTAGCTCGCCGCCTTCTGTTGCAGCAGCAGCTTTTGCTTTTGGCTGGCTTTCGATTCGGTTTGGCCAAATGTGCGGCCATAAATCGAGAGAGATGCAAGAGCGCTTCCCCCCATAAATCTGTTCCTCGGGCTGCTGCCACCAGGATGGAGCCGTATAGCGGCCATGGGGCAGGCATGGAGCTGCAATGGGGCAATAATGTCTTCTGTGGTGCTGTAGTTGGTGGCCAGGCGACGGCGATGGCGTCAGCTGCTCTGCAGCACTGCAGTCTTCTTGTTCGGCCCTGCTTTTTCACACATAAATTTCGGCATCATATTTTAACGCCATATTAATATGCACACGAGTATAAATCAAAAATCTCCCTGCCATCCTCAGTGGCATCTCCGTCCTTCCTTCCTTCCTTCCTTCCGAACCGAAGGGGCCCGCACCGCACCACACCGCACACACACATACACACACAGCGAAGGGATGGACATGAATATGGACACACACACATGGACACAAAGTGGCCGTTGTTAACACGTTTGCATTTGGCCACCAGCTGGCAGCGGGACTAGGACTGGGGTTATCGTTTATCGATAACCATGGCCAGAAATTTATGGCAATTGGTAGGAAATGCGGCGCCAGCAGGTCCTAGACGCAAGGACGCAAATAAGGAAATGATTAAGCGACTCGTTTGCGCTTTAAATTTGCTTCAAGATGAACGATAAGGATGGGACGATAAGGATAAGGCCAATTTTAAAATCTCAGCAGAATTACCAGAGGTGGAGAGGGGCCAGGCAAGTATTTCAATTAACGTAGATATAAAGCAAGCCCAAGGATTCGTTCAGGCAAGTTTTGAGGCAGTTTCAGTTATGTTTTAAAAACGTTGAATCGTCCCATCAATCATTGACTGTGTAGCCTACACTAAGCCTCAATCACGGCTTCAATCCCCCGGCAGTGTTTGGGCAGGCAGAACACAAAGCCTGTAAGCAATTAAAGGGACTCTGGACTGGCATTTTCCATCTTTCCTTGGCACATATCGATTGGAATTATGTTAATGGAGCAGTATATTCGATTGCTGCTATATTTAGAGTATACACAAATCCCCGTGGAGGGAGGGTGGTATATAAATATCTGAATACTAGGATCAACGGCTGGTCTGTCATTCTGTGACGGAACTACGTAGTAGCCATCTGCAATGAATCCTCTCATTCCTAAGAATTTGACAGGAAAAAAAAAACATTTCCTTGACATGTAAACTAATGTGCTCTTGGAACTCCACTCCTCAAGATATTTGTCCAAGGAACAACGAAAAACGAATCGAAATGACACGAATGAAAACGCGGATGGGCCGGGGAATGAGAATAAACAAAGTTCCAGATAGTGGGGGCCAAGTATCATTAATAAATTAGGACTTCCATCGGGACAGGGCAGGGTTTCTTTTTCTCTGTTCTATTAAGTTAACAAGCTTTTCTTTCAAGTGGGCCCCCACTCCCCTGTCCACCACCGAACAACCGCTAGACAAACAATGACGGACTCGCAACTGGAGACCTCGACGCGGGCTGCGGCTCTCGCTGGGCCTGGGCCTGGGCCTGGGGCCGGCTTGCCTTTTCAGCCGTCAATCTTGTTCTATTTTGTCGTCCACCAATTAAATTTGATTACAATTTGTTCTAATAAAGTCCTTCTGCCAAATGATCCTACCCGCTTTCCGTGGTTAATGGTTATTTTCGGTGGCATGGCCAGGGAAAGTCGATAGTCAGTTTTTGCAGATACATAAGTATCTCCCGGATACATGTTTGCACATCATTAGACTGACACATGAGTCCAGTCGCGTCCCTCCACCCCTTAGGTGGAACACTCCAGTTGGCATTTATTTTTAGCTCAATTCAAGTCCTGCTCCAGTTGCTGCCTCAAAGGGTGTGTGCAGCGGATGTGTTCGATTAATTATTTCCGCTTTCGGTTCCTTCTCCTCCACCACCACCTCCAGAACATTGTGTACTGGCCTAGAAGTAGGCAATAACTTTCGAAGCTCTCCTTCAGGGGCGAATTCTCGTTTAAAAGCCCAGCACATATGAATAAAAGAGGGTTTTAAGATCTCCTTTGCTGCAACTAATGAGTCACATCATAGGTCGGGCCCCAGAAGGGTCCTTTCTAATTGCTCCTGATGGGGACGGACAGCCAAACGCAAAGCCAAAGGCATGCCTAAAACCAGTTCCAGTGCCAGGGTCAGGCAGAAAGTTACAGCAGCAACAGCAACAAATTTATGAAACATTTCCTTAATTGCACTTCCTTGAGGAAAATAATTTATTTAAACGACATGCGCACACCTTTAGTCCAACGGCAGAATGGAGGACTGTAAGGCCGCGCCCTCTGTGTTTTCCGACTGCTGTTGCTGTTGCTCTGGCTGTGGGCTGCCAGTGACAAATGTCCCTCGCAGAGTCCGTCCTCCTCGCCGCCTGCATGTGTGTGTAATTTAAATTGGAATGTATTTCAATAGGTTTGTCCTTTTTTTTTAAGGATCTGCCGAATGTTTGCTAAACATTATTTGTGGCCATTTCTTAGTTTCCCCAACAACGTAAAAAAATTAGAACATTCCTTCTAATATATTTCTTTGGGCTCTGGCTTGTCTATTTGTTGCTGTGGCTCCTCCTGTCGTCTGCTAATTGACTTTCTTTGTTGCGGCTTGTGCGTGACGTTCGCATTTCCGGATGATTGGCTTGCCTCCGGCCACCCAAGCCCAACCACCCCATATCGGGTCTGCCAACTGACTGACTGACTGACTGACTAAACAACTGGACTGGAGGACTGACTGATGTTTGACCCACAGGAAAAACGGAATTCGAGCCCAACAATTTCCGAGTGCTTGGCATAATTCGTTAGGCGCAAAGGAAACCGCAGAAAAATGGACAGCTCCATTCACTAATTGGCAGCTCTGGCTCTATCGTGCAAGGAGGCCTCGACTGCACTGGTCACTGAGTTCACTGAGGTGGCATTCTGTGGTTAGTGCAGCAAGTGATGTATCTGATGCGAATCGAGGGTATTGGAGCCGCACCGAACGTTTAATTGGCAAAGCTCTGTGCAGTGGTTTTATTTGCTTCATTCTTGAGTCACATGACAGAGTTTATGAATTTCAAAAATGAATCTTCTATCTGTGGCAAAGCCCTCGCTAACCTGTAACTCAAGTGTTCAGTATTGGCCATTTAAGTTCCAGTTAATTACCATTGACAGTTTGTTTATTTAATGAGAGTCTGAGAGAGATATCTAGCAATTACCTGAGCTCTCCAGTTGCAGATTGATGCAGTTAAGATTCGATGACTGTGGAAATAAGCCACTAGCTGCCTGGGCATGGCTGCATAGGCTTTTGCCAATGAACTAAACAATTCGATTTGTGCCAAAACATTTTATTGGCCACATTCGAATTTGTTGTGATGAGTGGCCCACATTCAGCATAATTTGTCCTTGTGCCAGCGTAATGCCGACAGTAACTACTGATGAACAACTGACAGGCATCGGAATGTGCATCGAATCTAATTTCAGTAGGATTATATTTCCTCTGTATCTCTTCTCTGTGCTGTGGTGGGAGATGACAGCAGCACAGCAGGGAAAGAGCTACAGCCGAAAGCCGAGTGCCGAGTACCGAGGGCCGAGTGGTTGTCTTCAAGTATGCAGGGCAACAAATTAAATTTACAGCAAGCCGCAACGTAAAGTAAAATGAAAATAAAATCGCATTAACCACAAGGCCAGCTGCTGTAAATGACAACGCCGATAAGACGAGGGGCAAGGACTGCCACTCATCCGAGCGGGAAGAAGGATGCGACGGACCAGACCGGACCAGACCAGAAACAGACCAGAAACAGGGCAGGCCCCATGGGGTCATTGCAGCAGTAATAGCACCAGAGCAGTGGCCAGTGGCAGTGGCAGGGCAAGGGCATTGGCAGGGCAGCAAAGCATGCAACCACACAGATGGTGGCATCCCAGGGTGGCGTGCAGCCGGAGGGGGCAATGAAGTTTCAACACAAATGGATGCACGAACGCACTTGGCCATTTGGCCTCCGCATGTAATGCACTAAAAGAGAGAGACAGAGATTCACAAAGATAGAGAGAGAGAGAGGGAGAGCGAAAGTGGGGGAATGTATTGGTGTGTGTGTTGGGTTGGAGTGGGGGGGGGGGGGCTGACTGTGAAACAGTGCATATCGAATGAGTTTCCGATAGCCATCCGCTTAAAAATCGATTAACCTATTTCCGATAACTACTGCAATGCGCATCCAGAAAGGATTGCCAAGGGAGGGACTGTGATGCGGAGTGGGTGGTGGGGTGGTGGGGCGGTGGAGATGCTTCCAGCTGCCAGTCAAGCATATTAACTGTTGTCTACTGTCTGGTGTCTCTCTCTCTCTCTCTCTCTCTCTCTGTACGTTTGCTGTGATAGAAAGTGGCACATTTGTAAATCGCTGGGCAAACATTTATGCAACTTTATAGGTCGATGCAGTTGTTTCAACTTTCTCTCTGATTTCTCCATTGTGTTTGGCCTTCTCGCGTCTCTCTCTCTCTCTCTCTCTCTCTCTCTCACCCTCTGTCTCCCTTCCACCCGCTGTATCTGCATTTGCTGCTGCCCTCTGCTGACACTGCGGTCGATTATTGGGACAGATATGACAGCTGTATGGAGTGAAATGCGTACAGGAGTATTTGCGGAACGAAGGAGTCTTATCGCTGGCGAACTATATCATTGCATACTTCAGTGGCCTTCATATTTTTGGGGCCTTCTTTTCTTTGTCTTTGTCTTTCTGGGCGTGGCGGCAAACAGCTGCTTTAACGACGAGGCAGACAGACAAGGCAGCAGCAAATGAATGGCGTCTGTCTGACTCTTAATTTACTGACAACGGGCGTGACACACACAAACACACACACATTCACACTTATTCACTCACATCGAGCGATATAATCTCATATGTATATAGAGGTATATATGTATGTACTTACAAATCCACTGCCACTTAAAAGCAAGAAGATTAAAGAGTGTGGGCGAGGGCGGAGAGGACAAGCAGCGAGGAGTAGCTGCTGGGCGACATCCACATCCACATTGCCCGCAAGTGTTTTGCTAATTTTATGGAACCCTCTTGCGCTTAATTAATATAAAATTATTGTGCAAACAGCTAAGCGGCGGGCTAAGCGGGGGGCTTGGAGCTGCTCCGAAAAGTATTAGCCACTATTTAAGGGCGAGGGCTGGCTGGAGCTGACTGGCTGGCTGGGCGTATGGGTGGGGTGGAAAAGCGTGAAAACAACATCCATTTCTGGGCCACCTGCCCCTCTGTCTGGATAACTGGCTGATGTTACCATGTCTTAACCCCAGCATGCCCCGCAGTTTTAAAACTATTCAACCATAAAACGACCCACACAGAGAAAGGGTAGCAGAGGAGGAGGATGGAATTCAAGGGTCGGAAAGGAAAGGAAAGGAGAGGAGAGAGCGCCAAAAGACAGAGGGACAGATGCGAAGCGTAAATTCATTTACCGCAATGGGGAAACAGAAGCCAAACACACAGACACACAGACACACACACACACACACACTTACACACACACCGATACAGCCACAGACAAAAAGCTTTTTACACAAATGAGTTTATGGCGGTGGCTTTGGGGAGTGGTTGGACTAGGGGCTGGAGGGAGGGAATGGGATGGAGTGCCACAAAAATTAATACATTATTTTTAAAAGATATATTTCAAGCATGTGCCTCTGCTGCTGCCTCTGCTACTGCTACTGCTGCCAACAATTAAATCAGTGAAATCCACACACAGCTTCATCCTAACGCCCCCAACCCACACCTCCCATCATCCCCCCACAGACGAAGCTATCCACAAAATGTTCACAACTTTTCAACTTAAATTCATTTTGTGCCAAAACCTGGGATCCTTGGAGAAAGGGGATGCCAACGCCCACACACACACACACACACACCTCCCCATTGAGGGTGTGTGTGGGTTAAGATGTGGTGGCTCCGGGAAGGGAAAGGAGTTATTTCCAAGTGGCATCACATATTTTTCCCGTGGTTTGTTGTAAATTTGTTTTCGTTCGCTTGCAACGCTGTGACACCGCAGCCCCATCAGCATCAGCAGCAACAGCAGGGAGACTTGCCACGCCACCCCCTACCCTGTATGGTAACGCCCCTCCCCCAAAAACAAGCCGCAGCTTTTAGCTAACTGTAAATCAGTGCCTCCGACTCTCGAGCAGCTGCTGCTGCTGCTTGTGCTATTCGTGCTTCTTCGCCACCAGCTTCTGTTGTTGCGTAGATAATAAATTAAACGCACAGGAAAAGTGAAAGAAGAGAAAGGCAGAGAAATTGGAACAGAGAGACGGGAACGAGGATAGAGGGTTTTTTAGGGGGAAAGATTGGCTTGAAATTGAAATGGAATGCAGGGGAAGTTGATGAAGCTCTACAGCTGAAGGAGAGAGGAAACTACTCCGAAGCTTTCCGCTGGGAACATAATCGCTTTAAACTGTGGATTTAGACTTATAAATTAGAGAGCAAAATCCATTCTACATTTATTTATGGTAATATTTTAAGCCTCAAAAAAGGAGAATCAATGGGGAAAATCGTATCTATAACTGAGGTAAACTCCACTATAAGAATTCCCAGCAGAATGTCGAGACGTCGAGACAGTCTTTCTTTTTAGGAGGCTTTGCCACATAAATTTGAATGCTTTCGGTTTAGATTTATCAAAAACAAAATGGCAGCTCCCTTGCCCCGAAAAAGATGGGCCGCCAGAGCTGCCAACCCAGATGTCGACGCACAAACGTAAAAAGTGTCCAAAAAGTTGGGCCAATGTTTCACTAGATAAAACGTCAGGGCAAAGGCCACCAGCCACCAGCCACCACAGGATGGTAGGCAGCTCCGAGTGGGTAGAGGAAACAGGATGGCTGGGTGGTAGGTGGTCGGTGGTTGAGGCGTCGTCATTGTCGCCATTGCTGTCAACGGTTGGCGGGGCTGCCACGTCAACCCTTTTGTTTCAAATTAAAATTTACATATTTTAATGTGCAAAGTTTTTACCGAACGCTTCTCGCACGGAGAGAAGCCAGAGGAAAACAACAGACAAACACTGTGGAATGTCAGGAGCCATAGCCATAGCCATAGCCTGTGACAGCCACAGCGACAGCGACAGAGTTGGCCAAAAAACGGAGAGAAAAAATAAATTAAATTGACCTGTAAATATAATTTGGAAGGGAGCACAGCAGTGGGTGTGGGGCTGGGGCTGGGGCTGGGGCCGACAGCAAACGTGTTTAATTACCAAGTTGTAAGCAAAAACAGGAAAGGAAGCAGGACCCAACAGGAGATGGATCAACTTCCTTCTCTCAGCTGCAAATGGAACTTAAAGTGAAGTGAATTTACGGTTAGAGATACTCGGGGCTCGGGGTTGAGGTTTCCAGGTTCGTGTCACACGAGTATGTGGGTGATGTCTGTGAATGAATGACCAGAGTTCCAGAACTTAATTTCGGCATCACCAATCCAGCAATGCGGCATAAACAAAAGCGGAAACGATCCACCATTACCATTCACCACTTAGAGCGCTAAAAGTCTTCAAGTTTCATAATTTCCATGGCTATTTAAATAAACGAAAGCTACGCAATAAAGTCACTGCATTTATCCATAATAATGGAAATTGGATGAATATATAATTATATAATATAGAATTATGTTATCGGTGCAAACGCAAACTCTTCCAGGAGCTCCTGCTGCAGGAAGAATTACAGATAGATATCCGGTGGGTAAAATTTGAATTTCCTACAACCAATCACCATGTAACCACAAGGATGTCAAAAAGTGGGCCATGATAAATTGATTTTTGGGGTTTTACCACACCAGTTCTCAGGGACAGAGACTCGACATGCAATCAGCGATCTGATGGCTGGTTTGATGGCAGTGGGATGGCCAGGGGATGCCTGGCGTGGTCTGGGGTCTAGGGTCTAGGGTTTGCGATGCGGTTTCTAATTGCTTGTCAATTGTATAATTCGTACGTACATATGTTCATGCACCCAAACATTTTGAATATTTATCAATTAACAACAAGCGTTCAAGTTGTGTGTGTATGTGTGTGTGCAAGTTAACACCATTTAACGCTAATGTAAAGCAAACACTTTGATGTATTTGCCTTGTTATCTCTACGTGTGTAGCTCGCACTGTATGCATGTATGTATGTGTGCGCATATATTCGCACTCGGAGAACTCGGAGGGAGTACTCAGAGTACTCGGAGTACTCGGGGTGCGGTTGGAGTGTGGAACTAAGCGAATATTTGCCCGTGTGTATGTGTATTTTTCATTAACTATGTTGGCATTATGACAGTCCACACACACATCCGCATTGGCGTCCGCATTGGCGTCCGCGTATCCGCGGACAGGGGTCCGCTTTTGCCGTTTTCACCGTTTTTGCCGTTTCATCGCAAAGTATGCTTACCTGCAAAGTATGCCAACATGGCGGTTAGGACGACGGATACGAAAATTAAGGCGATGCTCAAGCATTTCCAGGAACATCGGTGCTGACAGCGCTTATCTATGTGAAACCTGTGGGCGAAACAAAAGAGTGAGAGAGAGAGAGAGAGAGAGTGGGTGAGTAGAGCTTAAACAAACTGAGAATTGCATTTGTAATTAACAAAACGGGCAAACAGAAGGAGCAGGGGCACGGGGCGATGGGGACGATGAGGAAGATGAGGAGGAACCGCAAGACACACGGCTAAAGCCGTCATCTGGATGACTCTGCTGCTGCCTTGGCTCGTCCTGTGGCTTTAGACGCTTGACATGTCACAAGGACCACAAAAACCAACCAAACAAACACAACCCCAAAGCCACCCCTCACCCTGCCACCCAGCCACCCTGCCACCGCCAACAGCCACATCCCCACTTATGCACAAACATAATGGGGGCCAGAGATTGGGACTGGGACTGGGACTGGGTCTCGCAACCAGCAAGAGTAAGTACGCCAATGAGTTTGTCAAACTGTTGGTAACCGCTGGCAACTTTTTTAATATAGGTAGCACACATACTACATACGACATACGACTACTGCTAGTGCCAGTCGCCTCCGGCAGGCCGCCAGCCAGAGCTGTCTGTCGGCGTGGCGCTCCTTCATCTAATTGCGTAAAAGTTGAAGGAAATGCGAATGGGGTGGGGTGTGGTGTGGTGTGGTGGCTTAAAGGGAATTAACAATTGCATTCCAATTGTCCAGAGGACGGGGTCTCGGGTCTCGGGGACGGCTCATGTTACTCCCAAAGGTGATTCAAATCACTCAATATCGTCCCTCGAAGGAGTTTGCGGACAGAAGAAGCCTCTCACACCAGCAGAAGCAACCCACTAAGGCAGTGGAAAACAAAAACGAAGAAGTTAAAGTATCCCGACCCCTGGAATTGTTGAACTTTGCAGCAGGCGAAGAGTGATCTCAGGTGGATCTATTTGGGGATGGCTTTGCAATGGCTTTGAGCCTGCAAGGCCATCAATAAAGCGGGAGGAATGTCTGATTTAATCTTCGCACCCATCGAATGAGACCATTAAGAGAGAGAGGGCTGCCCGCTGGCCCGAAGCCTACGCCTGAGTTAAATCAGTTGACTGGAAGTCATATCGGAGGGCCCCCACCCAACCAGAGCAAACACTCAATTTAACTTGAATTCCGGTGGGTTGCACCCGCGGGTCGCGTAGCAGAGGGTCCTGTGTTAAAGGGTTAAAGGGTTAGAGGGGGACTCGGCCTTTCTGCTTACCTGGATGGCGAATATGGCGAATAATGCGGTGCATGCGCTGAGTGGGAATTACGCAATGGGAATCCGGGCATGACCAACGGCTGTGAGCCGCTTATCTGGCAATGGGGCCCCCCATTGCCGCTGCCCGGTGGCCCGACGTTGGCATTGGGGCCACCACCGCCGCTGCCGCCCACTTGACCCACGCCGCCCACACCGACGGGCATTGTACCGGCGCCCATGGGCATGACGACGCCACCACGATCGATGCCGCCATGGCCGATTGTGTTGCTGCCAGTTGACATACTTTGTGGCATCTGTTGTGGGTGGCCGCCCAATCTGGAATGGCAAAAGAGAAATGGACAATCAGTGAGTGCATGGAGTACGAATAGTGTGGATGGGTGGTTGGGTGGTCTGGTGGTCTGGTGGTTGAGTGTTGGAGGAGACTCCCTGTTTTTTTTCGGAGACTCTTCACACAGGGAGAATGAATGCGAGAAGCGCTTGTAATGCGGAAATTAAAACATGTGCACAAGTTTTCGTCCTACATTCGCAAATTCCTTCTCCTTCTTCCGCTTTTCCCGCAATATTTAAATCTCATCCTTGCGGACAAAGGACAAAGGCTTATTGTTGCTGCTGCTGCTGTTATTATTATCATTATTATTTTCAGCGGTTAAGTGATGCGGAAATTTTAAATTAAAAAACATAAATCAATGCATATGTGAGTGGCTTGGGTCCGGTCTGGTCTGCTCCGGTCTGCTCCGGTCTGGTTTGGAGCCCAGCGGCATGCTGGGTGAGAGTTTTCATTATCCCTTCCCTGTGGCGGCGGCCGTTGTTTGTGTTTTATTATCGCTTAACATTATGCGGAAATGCAGTGCTGCTAGCGCTCGATAACTGCTCGCCATTGTTGCCTCTTTTTGCTGACAGTTACTGTGTGTGCCAGAGTGTACGCCGTGCCACACTTTGTGGATGCCATTTTCAGGCGCCGCCCGCAAATATGCAGCACAAATTGCTGCTGCCCTTTTTGTTATTTCTCGAACACATTTTTGCGGACACACACGAGTGGGGAGTGCGTGTGCGTGTACATGTGTACGTTCCAAGGACGCAGCGACAAGAGGAGGAGCTGTCGACAAGTAAGTAAACAATATTGGAAGCGTTCCAGAGAATTGGCTGACACAATTTGGTGCACTTTCTCGACCAAGTCTCGCCCCTCTCGAACCAAAATCCCAAGACGTGCTTTGATCAAGCCTTAAAGGGAGCGAAGTTACGTAAACCTATTGATATCGTTTGAAAAATTGTATGCAGTATTTGATGGCAGTGATGGGAGAGCAAGAATAAGTACAGTCCCATGAAAAGCAGTGACTTATAAATCCTCTGGCAACGCTTTAAATGAACCTCATTAAAATCCCATTACAAATAGGAGAAGCAATAGGAAAAGCCTTAAAGGTAATTTCCTTCTGCATTTTTGCATGGCAATTACATATATGCAAAGTACAGTTGCCTCAAAGGCAATCTCTGCCATCTTTTGTCGCTGCGCAGCACTTGTTATGTAAATGTTTTTCAAAAGTATGTTTTCTTTGACAGCGGGTGATGGAAAAAGAGGAGAGGGAGCGAGAGAACTTTTTCCTGCGTCAGAGGCAGAGACTATTTCCATGGTGAAAACTCAAAGGGGCAATGGGGCTTTCATTAATCGCAAAGGCAATTACAGGAAGAGCTATCTCCGTCCTTTGATGCAGTGCAACGGTTGACACAAAAGTACAGTCTCGTCCAAGGCAGCACTGATGGCGGCGCCGTATAACCCGTTATGCCCGTCTAGCTTATCTATGACAGTGCTTATTTTAATATCATTCGAATGGGTCCGGTTGCCGTTCTGTTCCGTCCCCCAGCAGCAGCATCATTGTAGAGTCGAGTCCCATCGTCAGCTGCTGTCGAGTGCATTTGACATATCACATTTGGCTCTCGCTTTGGTTTGGTTTGGTTTTGGCTCTGAGCTGCTGCTGCCGCCATTTTGGCTTTGTTATTTATGGCCATGTCAAGCGGTCGCTTGCTGGTCAACCTACACTCCACGCCCACTAACGGCTGCTCCTGGTCCTGATCCTTGTGCCTCAGCCTCGTCCTCCCTCGGTTTTTGGGGTCTGGCCTGCATTTGACATGCGGTTGTTCTGTGTGTGCGGTGCGAGTTTTTTGTCTTTTTCGGCTGTTGAAAATTGGTTTTGTTTTTTTCTCAGCTTTTTTGTTTTGTTTTGTTTTGTTTTAATTCGAGTGGAGAAAGCGATGCATGGTAAACCGGCTCAACCGCCGAATGAACTGCGCCCCAATCCATTATATTTTGAGATAGATTTTCCCTACAATCTTTCGATTTCTTTTTTTTTTAATGTAACCAAAAATCAAGCTTCAAATTATTTACAAAAGTTGGGACAGAGGGCCAAAAAGCAACAAAATCTGTGTAATCTGTAGCCTGGAGAGGGGAATGGGTCATGACGCTGACGCCTGAAAGTATGCAACACGAAACAATGAATGAACCCCCGTTGGCAGAAAACGAAAGAGAGAGAGAGAGAGAGAGGACCAGTGCCAGTGCCAGTCCCAGTGTCAAATGAGTGCGAAAGCCGCTTACAACACCAACAGCCATAGCAGCAATAGCAGCAGGCGGCACAAGACAAATGTGTATCTGTATCTATGTGTGCAAATATCTATATACATATACATACATATGTATATAGTATGTGTGTGTGTGTTTGTGTGTTTTGTGGCGCTTAGCAGCGAACAGCGCAAGCTGTGCCTGTGATTTATTAGCAACAATAATAGAATTAAACAATTTAAATTAAGTTGTAGCCAAAAACCATAAACAGTCTGCCAAGCGGCTCCTCCCCCTTCTTGCTGTCGCCCCACTGGCAGCACACGCAACGTATTTTGTTGCCTCGCTGTGGGAATACCCTCGAAGGCAAAATGACTGGTGATGCCACAGTTTTGGATTCTTCACAATTAATGCTGAAAAGATGGAGCTAATTAAGGGAACCCCCTCCACATACATATGTATGTACGATTCCTCGAATCTTTCGTGTTAGGTGCTGCTTTAATCCTCACAGGCATTTCTCAAAGTCAGATCCTCTAAGGAGTGTAATACAATTCGAATAGAAATTCGAATGGTGCTCTTGACCAACAGAAGCACCAGCAGAACCACCACCAGCAGAAGGAGACGACATGGGGCGGCAATGAAGGGGAAAGTCAGGCAGCAGGAAGTGTTTTTGGGGCCATGGTGGGGTCACAGTAAAATTTCCTCGCGCTGCTGGCGGCATTACAAATGCTTCCTGTGCAGTTTGTGTGTGTGTCCTCCTTTCATTCTCTCCCTTTCTGTTGAATGGTGCGGTGTGTATGTGTGTGTGTGTGTGTGTCAGTGTGTATATTGCTGCCATTATTATTTCTGTTGACCAACCACACCACACCCGAATGCACCCGATCCCTGTGCAGCACTCGACACTCTGACGAAAGTTGTGCCACACGCAAAGTGCGACAAGTACCAGTCCGGCAAAAAACCATTGCATACTCTTCAGTGTCCAGCGCATTTTCATTTTGTAACCCAAAAAATGGCATTTTGTTGTTTTCCCCTCTCTCTCACACTATGTTGTGTTGTGTGTGTCTGGCTGATTGTTTAATTTAATTTGGATTTAAAAGCAACGCATAACAAGGATTGCTGGAAATTATTATTATTTTTTGCCAAGTGTTTTTTATTATTCAATCAAATAATATTCGTTTCATTTGCAATCAACAACAACAATAAAAAACGTCCCCGCCTTTATTAAATTTTGCGTGCCCCCTCTGTGTGGCATGCCACACGAGACACCGATACAGATGGAGTATTTTTCTCTCTTTGGATTAAGAATCACAAGTATTAAATGGGCGGAAAAGAAGGAAGCAAATGGTCTCAATTGAACTAAAACTAAAACACTGAATTTCCCTTTTGAAAGCCACTGCATATAATCACCTGTTCAAGGCAATGACTTATCCATTGGTAAGTGAATGAATGTGTTGTGCATCGGGGCCACGAAGTGGGGCATTGCTGGGTATGACGTAAGGGATTTCTTGCGAAGACTACAACGTGCACTTTCGCTTTTGGAAGCTTTCATTCCTAGATTTATAGATTTACTTACTCTTCCATCAAATTCTCTAGTTCTGCAGCATATCGGTTTATGTACAGTGTATGTGAATGTACATACATATGTATGTATGCAGAACGTAAAAATGATTAGTGTCTTCTTTGGGTTTCAGGTTTTTGGTTTTGGGAATTCTGAATTCTGAATTTTTCGTAATACATACCCCCTGTACCCGGAAAAAAATCAATCAACTCCAACGATTTGCCCAATAGTATTTCCCTCCCTCTATTTCAATTTGCTTCTCTCCTCTCCCTTGCACTCAGGGCCCATTATATCTGCATTAGAGTGCGTGACAGGACAATGCGCTGGGCTCTGGCTTTGGCTCTTATTTGGATGCCGTTGCCGTTGCAGTTGCCGTTGCAGTTGCCGTTGCAGATGTTAATGTTGCACGTAGCCATTTGCCACAGTTTGTTGTTCACCTTTTTGGTTTTTTGTCTCACTCCCTCTCTGCATCTCGCTGCCGTGGGTTCTGCCGTCTCTTTCTGTGTGTTATTATTGATTTCGCGCTTCATTTTTCTAGCACGTTTTCAGCGCCGTCTCACACACAGCGTGTAATTTTGTTTGGATCTATCGTACGTTTCCCCTAAGCCTCTTCACCTCTTCCCCCGTTCAAATCACTTCTTTTTGCCCTCCACGTCGCCCCTTTCCCTCTCATTATTCGAAACTTTCTGTGTGTGTATGTGTATGTGAACGTTTTGCGAAAATCACGTTTTTGGTGGGCGTTTTGTTAGTTTTCGCTTTGTGAGGCACGAATCTGATGAAACCAACATCCAACGTGAGACCTGAGGACCTGTGGACCTGAGGACCTAAGGACGTGCGGGGGTGACGTGAGAAGGGGCAAAGGGACTTAACCCAACAATGCCACGCAGGGCAGAAAAACGAAATTCATAGTTTTTGTTCCACTTCCTTTGGAAGCGTATGGGTGTGTATTTGTGTGAGTGCCCCTGCCACTGCCACTACCACTGCAATCCATTGAAAAGTTTCGCAACAAAACGTTTAATGGCCTTCAGGCTCGATCGGGCCCTAGGGAAAATTCCGGTGGAAGGGAGACACAGGGGCCGCGCCATCCGAACACTTTTCATCGAATTTGTTTAGCATTTCGTTGTTTTTTGTTCTGAATGGCAGGGGGGAAGTGGAAATCGCCTCATACATCAACTCTATTCAGCGCTCGCATAGTATGACACAAAACTC